GCCCAGCGAGTTACTAAGTTTTTGTCTACTCTATGTGCTTCTTGCACACATAGGATGTTCGGATCGACACATTCAATAAAAGTTTTAAGTTCTCGTTGACGGTGCTGAAAGCCATTGGCGTTCAGAGACACCATTTTCATTCTATCCATTTTTCAATAAGTAGAAGTGGGGAAAAGCTTACGTTTGTGGTACCCAGAGAAGATTACAATATTATGGTTTAAAAAGTTATACGTCAGGAGACGTAATATGAGGCGATTTAAAATCAGTGTAAGGTCTCACTCACGTTTTTTCTTTTTACCTGTCACTTTCTCTTCTGAGGTTGAAAAAGATGAGTCAGATGACGTAGTTTCTCTGTTTCTTTTGCTATTGTAATCCGAATTGTCCATGTTTGAGTTAGTTAGATCCACAATGGTAGCTGTATTATTTTCCAGATTTGCAGGCGCTGACAAGACGTGTTGAAGAGAATCACTGAACAACGACGGTGTTGAGTCGTGTTTTTCGTAGTTGTGAACAAGAACTTTCACGTATGCAATTCCCTTCGAAGGTGGTCGAAAAGGAGTATTTTCAATTGTTGAGCTTTGTTTCAGTTTTCTGGATTGGTCTTGTTGTTTTGGTGTTCTCTTAGGTTGTGCGTCATTTTTCATTCGCTCTGATTGTGCGTCTTTTTGTGGTCTCTCGGGTTGTGCGTCATTTTGTGTCCGATCAGGTTGTGCGTCGTTTGAGGCACAGTCTGGTTGTGCATCCTTCTTTGGTGTCATTAGTGGGCTTTTGGCGCTAGCGCCATCCTCACACTCAGACCAGTCGCTAATCTCTCTTAGTTCCGAAGCTGACGAAGAGAATTCGCAGACTGTATTTTCGTTGGTTTCATCTGCAGTTTGCACGTCAACTTTTTCAGCCAGTTGTTGTGTTCTCTCTGGAACTTCAGTCCGATTTTGAACTGTGGTTTCTGTTTTGGGCACGGACCATGTGTTGGTCATGCTTCTCAATGTGGGAAACTCCTTTTCCCTCTGCTCGCAGCTTCTTTGAAGGTGGCCAGTTTGCTTGCAGTGCCTGCAGACTGCCTCATTCACGCATTCTGCGTAAATGTGGCCAGATTGTAAGCATTTGTTGCATTTTGGAACAAATAGTTCCCGAGGCAGTCCTTCGATGTTAATGTAATTCGGCAATAGTTCTTCCTTAAAATCCTCTATAAAGAATGCAGTATATCCATTATAGATTTGGGTCCCTTTATAGTAATTCCAATATGCATTTTTGATAATTCCGCATCCTGTGCCGTTGATTTTAGCCGCAGCTTTTGAGAATGGTGTTTCATAGAGGATTCCACAAATAGATATGCGAGTCGGTGGCTTGTTTGGCAGGGTCACTGCTATTGTGACGACTCCTGCTCTGATTTCTTCACCGGTGCTCTTGAGGAACTCTTTTTTGCAGCATTTACCACTGCTGTAAGCGGCAAAAGAGATTATCCCGTTGTTTCGGCCAATTTCGTACAACCCTCTTATTTGGCCGCAAAAATCTCGTGTTGTGGTGTTGTCGCTTAATATTTCCATGAGTCCGGCGAAGTCCATATCTCGGTTGGCCTTCAGGTAGAGCGAGAGCGGCTGCCTTGTTGTCTGCGAGGTTTCCGTGGCCGTTTGAGGTGTTGCAGTGGCAGGTTCTCCAGTAGCAGGTCTTCTTGATGCGGCAGCGGCGGCTTAGTCCATCGTTTTCCTCTCCGTCGTCATGGAGTTTGTCTTGTGGCTGGTTTGATCTAGCGCTGGCGGATGAATTGGGACAAAAACGATGTTGCGAAAACAGATCATCGCACATATCGTATGCCGCGTCAGTGATTATGAAGAGCTCTAATCATGACGGACAATCGCACACAACGGTATAGGCAATATTCCTACATTAAAACAAAATTTGTGTAGTTCAGGTGCTCTTCTATAATGCATTTATATTGAGTAGGCGGGTAGATGCAAAGAGTTAAAACATGATAATGCAGGTTGATTATGAAGTAACAAATTACTGCTTACGTTCTGGAAGCACCGCCCAGAACATCAATCAACGTACGAGACAAAGCTAAAATAAATAGAAGAAAGGGAGAAAAGAGTGCTGGTTTCAAGTGTTTTAATATTTTTAAATTAAATATCAACCGTTAAAATGTATTTGTTGATCCAATACGCTTCGCTTCTCTTTTTCAATGAATTTATGAGGTACATACCTAGATTTAATTGTTTGGAGGTTCTGCATCAAAAATTCAATTTCTTAATGTTTCGTTTGATAAAAGTCGGTTACATTGAATAATTTACTTCATAATATTTGCCAGAAACCGAAAACTTTACATTACATACTTTTGTCTAGGAAGTGATGTCACGTCGGGGAATGCAATATGTTATGCTGTCGGATTCGAACAAAATGAAAACAGCTTGGGACGCAACAGACTTCCTGAAATGAGACGCCGGTTTATTAATGAAAGTTTGAATAAACGCATATATTCGTTTTTTCATAATGTTTGAGCCACACACTACTTGTTTATTTTTAAAGCAGTCTCAAGCAGAGATACTACAGCTAGAATAAATTGGGTTGAGAGTTCGTTAATGAAAATCAAGTGAAACTAGAAAAGTTACCGGGAATATATATTCCTGTCACAAGTGACGATGGCAATACAGTTGATAATTGTCTTAGAATGGAACATTTTTGTTTTTAAATGTGTGCTGTTTTTACAAAAATCTAAATCTTATTTGATTCCAACGTTCGGTCGGGATTCTAGTTTAGCCATGACAAAGTTGAAATGAACGATATACTACGCCATATAATACCATGCAGAGTCGGAGTGTTTTCCTGGACCAGGGTACTCATAGCTAACGATATGAGTTCTATTAACGATTTCAATTTAATTTCAGATACAGTACAGACAAATTGATAGATTTGCATTTATTCGAAAACTGTGTTGTCGGGTATTATTATTGTTTCCCATACCTCCCTGATTTCCTTATCGAATTAGCGTGCTCACACAATTATGCAAAAACGTTCTCTAATAACGGCCAGGTATACAGATCGCAATTGTACAATAATGCATTTTCTGTTCTTTGATTAAGGACCCATATCGTCTGAATTACCCAGTAATTATTGATTCGCAACAAGCATTAAAGTGATATCACAAGGCTTCGAATAGGTATGTGGAAAAGTAAGAAGAGGATGTGGCTGCTAGATTGTAGCATGTTACCGACAGTCTTGAAAATAATTGATGTGACTATGTGTCAAGAAGGTCAAATTATATTTAAACACAGTTTTGTGTATTGCATTCACAATAGTATTCAAGTTTATTTCCGAAACCACATAGAAAAGATAGATTAAGATTTGTCAAAAAAATGGAAATTGAAACGTGCTGATTATATCAGAATCGGTTTGCTAAAAATCTGCATTGTATTGAATTTTGAAACAATTATAAGTGGTTGACTTTATATATTATAGCGTCGGTATCGGAGACAATATCACCACGATGAAAACAGGAAGTGAGTTTAGTTGGTAATGATAGTGTATGTGTAATAACAGAAAACGGAAATTAAAGTTGAACTTTGAAAACGCTGTGAAAATTATTAAAGCAAGGTAGACCGTAGAGGGGAAGTAATAAAATTCAAGAGCAAGACAAACGTCTAACCGGGAAGATGTATTAGAGCAGGGGTGGGCAACCCCTGGCACGCGTGCCGAACTTGGCACGCGAGCCCATTTATTCGGCACGCGAGCGAGGCCTTGGAAACGATATCATTCTCTTTCAGATAAAAAGTTGCAAGACTCTAAATTATCTGACGAAACTAGGTGTTCGTTTTTTCATTATCGTTTGTTCACAATCCGTCATTTATTTATTGAACACTTTTTGTTCTTTCATGACAAATGGCTACAAAGAAATCTAATATGACATAACAAATGAGTGAGCTGTCGAGAACAGCGCAGCAATCATTCGGATACATTCTTACGTAATATAGTTTGTATGAGCCATCCTTTTTCTTCATTTCTGCTTGATTTATGAAGTTGTACAGCTCATGATGGTTAGAGTTACTTGCTTACCTACGTTTATAAATTAATTTCGAAATATAAGCGATTAGGAAAGGGAATATAAGAGAGAAGCGCAGGAAAAAAACTACTGCGTGATTGGGGTGCCATTCCCGAAAATTTTTCGTGTCTTGAAAAATTTGCAACTGCATTACTTTTCACGTTTTCATCCACATATGCTTCTGAACACAAGTTACTGGTTTCAACTTTCGGGCTACTCTTAATACGGGACTAATTAGTCTTACTAGTATAGAATAAGAAAAGTAATAAAGTCTATTTGCCGGAATGATATTTTCCCGAATAGTGAATCTGTCTATACATGTTTAAAAGGTTTATTATTTTGTAATTTTTCTTTAAAGCAGCAAAGCATTGTTTTTAATTTTGGCTGGCATGCGGAAGAATTTTGTCGCTAAATTTAGCCGATTTTGGCAAGCGAGTCTAAAAAGGTTGCCCACGCTGTATTGGAGTATATTATCAAAGCCGATCAAAGCCAACCAAGGATCGAAGGCCCTACATACAGAATTTGAATTGAGCGCCTAGTTGGGGACCGAGTAGGAAACCTAGTATCGAGTATTTTTAATTCAATAACCTCATCCATGAGGGTCACAAATTTTACCAAAAATTATTAACAAACTATGCTGTGACTCAAATAGAGTTAAAGATTCGTGTGGTCTTGATTATAGTTCGATCTATTTTAGCCCAATCTATATGCCAATGAAAAAAAGTTTATGTTATATAACAATTAAATGAGGCTTGTTAGGTATCATTGAATACATAGGTGGTAGATAGGGAAACAGGATAATTGCAGAACGGATGCAGCACAATATGTTCATTTACATACTTGAATTCGGGGACTTCTTTTCATTTAATCTTTGCTTTGCTAATATGGCATAATTTACTATATTTTGTCGTCATTTGTAATACTTTTAGTGTATATATATATATATATACATATATATATTTATAGTATTTCAATCGTTGGAAATATTGTCTGCAGTTTATACAATGGACGTTCAAGAAAAAGCAAAATTTAAAACTGACCATGCAGAACAAAGCAGGAAGTCATCCAGGTACAGTAGAAAAACACAATATTAAGTTTGTATGTTTTATAATTTGAGCTCTTAATTTTGGAATATCTCAATGGCGAAAACCGATATACCCTTGATTTTTGAATATTCGGACAAAATATGTTTCCTTCGACGCAATTAGTCCACCATTTCCACGCACAACGTTCAAAAACTCATTGAAAATAAAAAGCAGAATAAAATTATCAAAAAAGAGCTGAAAAATCAAATTATAACGATATAAAATATATCAAAACGGTTGACATCGCTAAACTTGCATATAAATATATGATAGTTAGTATAAGCGTCCAGGAAATAACCGCCGCTTGGTACAGCCCATCGGTTTGAATTTCTAAGAAAACAAATGTGTGAAACAATGATTAAAACTTGTCAATCATCATGACTGCTTTCGCCAACCAAACGTCTGTGCATCTGAAATTACTACTTGTCATTTATCTGCAATCACTATGAGTTCACCTCCTATAGACATTAAAATGAAAATTTCTCTACTGCCCTCATTTTACGGCATTTCAAACAGGCTTTTGCCTAATCTAAATAACGAAATTGGACAGCTTTTATTTTAGGTGTTTATCGAACATTGGTAATTGGAGACGAGATTGGGGCTAGCCCAAAAAATATTGTCCAATGTTTGTTCCGAGCGTAATGGAATATAACAAATAGCATCACCCTTTTTTATTTTAAAGGGCTCGTCCTGACAGCCCATCCTAGTCGATGTTTTTATTTATTCTTGTTTTCATTTGTTGAGAAAATGAAAATGAAAAAAAAAACCAAAATATATAAATAAAATGAAAGGTGTCGGTGTCGTGTAAAGGTGTCGTAGACTGGATGACTCTTTGAGTCTTCCGCGACGCGACGCCGCGTCTACTGAAACATGCCGACATCCGTTTTTGTAATTTTTTATATGCCTTTTATTCATTTTTTCATATCGTTTATAAATGGTTTTGCATGACGAAAATAAATATCTGTATCTGAAACAATGAAGCCAGCCAAAAAAGTCAAAAAAATTTCAATAAATAATTCTTACATAAATACAATATATATTAAAAAATCAAACGTTCTGTTGAAATGGAAAAAAATGAGTCGCGGACTTTTTTTTGTAATTTCCATATGTTGTGGCAAACCGTGAAATATTGCAACCGTTAATGGATATGTGTGTTATGTATATTGTGGTATAGATATGTTGTTAACTCTATATTTTGATTTTTCCAGAATAACTTGGAACAACAAATTTGAATTTTTATTCAACGTCGTAGGCTTTAATGTTGGATTAGGAAATATTTGGAGATTTACATATTTGTGTTTCAAGAATGGCGGGGGTGAGAACTGATTTTGGTGATATGTTTTGGATATGACTTGATTGATATTTAATATCGATAGGAACGCGAAAACAGTATTTAGTTTTAGTGTATTTTTGAATCTCCAATAATCTCCAAATAATAAATATACTGTCTTATTTCATCAATCCGAGTTATATTATATGTGGACAAACCCAAAGCAACGTCAAAGCATATGCAGATTTCTAAATCGATTCATTATCGTGCTTTTTGCTGAAAATGCTAAAGCAATTTTGTCATTGATTTTAAGCTAAAACTTTTACACGCAGGCGGCATTTTCCCATGAACAGCACAGTTAGGCAGGTGAATAAAACCTTCTATTATCTATAGTATACCATGACTCCAAGGTATTTATAATGTTATGGACATACAGAAATTGTATAATATTCAGGTGCATTTCTTATTCCCTATTTAATTGTTGCTGTATTTTGCGGAGTACCGTTGATGTTTATGGAAGTTGCAATTGGACAAATGACAAAACGAGGCTGCGTTGCCGGAATGGACAATTTGGTACCATTGATGAGGGTAAATATTTTAATGCAATCCCATACTTCTAAATACGGTGGGGGAACAGAACCCATAAATTTTTTCATTAATTCATAAAAATAAAATTATTTACTACTTAAACTTCTTGTGTATGATTGTCAGCTTGCCTATTCAGCAGTTTTTCATAAAGTATTCGGAACTAATCGTCATAGACAAATCATGAGTTTTAAATTTTTTTTTCTCAGGGCGTCGGATATTCATCGATACTATTGACAAGCTATTATCTTGTTTATATTGCATTGGTTATTGCCTGGTGTTTTATATATTTGTTCGGATCATTTACTTTGGGAATATTACCGTGGGCAACATGTGGTAAGCAGACAATATATACCAATTACGAATGTTAGATTAAAAATGCAGAATTTACGGTACTCCCGTAGTATATGTACCAGGTTAAGGTTAGGCCATAATTTTATTCCGATTTTCATTATTTTAGTTCTATTACGATTTCGGGGACTGTCAGTGTTAGCCAAGTGAATATACCCCCTGCCCATAGGTTTCATTCCCTTTAACAACTTGATGTAGAGTAGGCGAACAAAATTATATACCTCCATGCCGAATTTACAAATAAAAAAGATAGCCAATACAAAAATATTATACTGAAGCACCATTGTCAATACTTCGGTTTTGATTATCTAAATCTTATTCTTTTGGAGTACGCAGTCGTAAAATTGCTTGTTGGCATATTACCAAACTTTCTCAATATGCATAAAAAATATTACTAAACATTAGGAAATAGTTTGGGCCAAACTGAACTAAAGAAATACTACTTTTATTAAGATAATTATTCAAATAGTTTAATCAAAACGTAAAATTGGGAAAAACAAATAAAGCTATGTTTGTGTAGATTTAGCCAGCAAAACATTCACTTAATTGGTTCGAAAACAAACGGTATAGATTCTTCTAAAACAAAATCATCCAAATATCATATATAATATATAAAATTTTGAGAAAAAATAATAATGCTTTACAGATAACCAATGGAACACAGAAGCATGCATTCCCGTTATTGATGAATACGGCAATAAAAGCCATTTTTTATTTTCAAACCTTTCCCACGACATCGTCAATACTACTAATACAGCAGAACCCATATTATCTACAGTTGAATTTTTCAAGTAATTGATGTTTTTCATATATTTGTATAAAATAATTTTCATCAATTTACCATCGCATTTCATTACATCATGTAATTTTGAGACTCAAACCTAAAAATAAAAAAAATTGCAATTTGTGCGGTCACTCGGGCACTTCTTTCTCTCAGGCAGATATTCAAAAATGGATGAAAACATTGCTTCGTTTCTGTGATTTTGTGTGCTATTTGTCAATTTTTCGTTGTGTGTTTCAAAAATAGTTGTAAATCAAATACCTTAATTGTCATTACGTCTCCCAAGCACCTTTAGCGTAGTTGCAATAATCAAAAATTTGTCCTACATACACTGTGCTAGACTAGCGTAAAATTACACGTGGCACGTGGTTTGAATGTTTTCATCATTGATATTAAAATGATAGTTTCGGATCGGCACGTGTTTTATTGTTTTTATTAAAAATAATAGTTTTGAATATGTAAGCCGGTCCCACGTGCCAACTCTCCGAAACACTACTAATTGAGCGTTAAAATTTTTTTGTAATTGTAAAATATGAAACATCCATACCAAAGAATGTGCATGTGCATATTAAATTTGGTACTCCTGAAGTATGTGAACCAAGATGGCGGACACCGGAACGTAGTATGTGTACGAGGTTAGGGTTAGGCCATAATTTTATTCCAATTTTTCTCATTTTAGTTTTATTACGAGTTCCGGGACTAGCTAAGTGACTCCCGTAGTGTTTGTACCTGAAATTATGGCCTAACCCTAACCTGGTACACATACTACGTTCCGGTGTCCGTCATCTTGGTTCACATACTTCGGGAGTAACCTACCTTAAATTTTATGCCCATGACATTGGTTGGCAATTTCTAGTGAAAATTTTTATACTAAGTTATTTGTGAATCGTGACCAAAACTTTTTTAGTAATTACGTCTTACAACGAAGCAGTGGAATAACGGACATGGGAAGTTTTTCAAACTGGAAAATATTTGGATGCTTTGTTGCTGGTTGGATATTAATATTCATTTGTATTGTCAAAGGGATAAGAACTACAGGAAAGGTATTTTGCAATATATCGCATACAATTTTGACGCCTCGTGAAGCCAGGGTGAAAGTTATATGGCGATGCACGTTATGTTCAGGAATCAAGCTTCGATAAGAAATCTGAGAGGATTTAAATGCTTGATCCATGAAAAATTGAACAGCAAGCTACTTTCGATTTCCCATTTTATGACGTAATAATATCATCGAAGTAGAGATAAAATTGCATGATCCTGGCTAAGGCTTTATAAAGGGAGCAATACAATACTGTACTCGGTTTGACTCTGCGCCAAGCCCTAGAGCTTACGGATTCCGCTCCCTAAATGGTAGGTTGCTGTTTGCAAGTCCAAATGTTTGGTCAGGGGTGTTGTTTGCTTTATATATATAAAATTAAAGCACTAGTACTATGTAATGAAAATGTATCTAAAGTTCTAAAATTCTAAAGTTTTCTACATAACGTTAGGGCCACAAATATATATACATTAATGAATTTAAACTTATCGAGTTTCATTTCACCATTGTTATAAGAATAACCGATTACATTTTCGACTTTAAGGCAATAAAAAGGGTGTTGCAGTTCTATGCAACATTTTCATGTACCCGGGTTTGGTTTTCATAAAAAAAAAAATTCAATTCTAAACAGCTGTTGTCAAGATTTTAATTGGTTTTCGGTACATACGCCGACAGGTAACATCGTCAATTAAAAAATGATCATTCTACTCTTCTCACTTTATAAATTGTTACTACAAACTCATGTAAACTTGTCTCATTTTCCATGAAAACCGATGTTTAAAAATTGGTGTTTACTATACAATACAATTTCTCACAGGTCGCATATGTAACTGTTTGTTTACCATATATTGGAATGTTTGCGCTTCTGATCAGAGGAATAACATTAGAGGGTGCCAGCAATGGAATTTTATATTACGTCACACCAAATATTACAAAGCTAGCTGATCCGCAGGTAATTTTTACTCCCGCAACTGAATCAACAGTCTTTCGATATGACTACGTATTCGATGTTCCTTGGTGATATCCCTGATCCAGTTGCAACGCCTATTTCGTGAAATATTTCGAGAATATTCGATTCCAAAATCATCAGGTATTCGCCCTACTTGTGACATAAGCACTAGTAAGCAAAGGTACTAAATGAACTTCCATCGGCATAAGTGCGGAATGTTTTATTCAGAAAGCTAATTCGACTGGTATTTGGACTATAATTATAGATTCAAAGTACAACACTGGACAAAAATTAATAGGCCTATTGTTTATAACGTATTGTCTGTTTCGGTAATACATTTTTTCAGTTTTCAAGCATATACAAATTATGGACCGCCTGAAGTATGTGAACCAAGATGGCGCACAACCTGAACATAATATGTGTACCAGTTTGGGGTTCAGGTTATGCGACATCTTGGTGCACATACTTCAGGAGCACCCAAATTATTATAGGTCTGGTTAGATGCAGGGGGTCAAGTGATATTTTCTCTTGGACTTGGTTATGGAGCTGTCATTGGATTAGGAAGCTACAACAAATCCAACTTTGATTGCTACAAGTAATACTCGTTATGTTTCTCTCAGTGCTACTTCGAAGTTACTGACTTTAAATTTTTGATATATTGAGCAAAATATAAAATCCAGAGTTTGCAAGCGTTGTCTTGTTTGTCTTATGGCCTCATTTAATTTTATAACTTATAGCAGGAATATATTCAATTTGGTGGAGTTATTTAACTATGGTTCAGTCTTGCTTTCGCTGCCTTGATGAAAAATATTCCCTTTTATCCTAATCCATGGTTTTTTTTTTATACATTAATCAGTTTTATCGTATTTTATTTCTGTAGAAGTTCTTTCTTTTTCGTTCTCACCTGTTGCGGAAGTTCTTTGTTGTTTGGATTTGTCGTTTTCAGCTTTCTTGGTCATATGGCGTTAGAACAAGGATTACATGTACAGGACGTGGTAGAAGGGGGTTTGTATTTTGTTCACCGTATTTTACAGACCACACAGCGCACTTAAAATCTTATCTTTCCAAAAAATCGATTAGATTATGCTTTATTGCCCACACTCAAAACCAGTACCCGACCTTTGACCCCCGAAAAATTCTTCCTATACTTTACCATTGCAAAATTTTCGAAGATTATTTTAAGAGTGGTTTCGCGAGTTGGCGCCTGTAAAATGGGGTATGTGTTTCACAGCATCATTATGATTCATCGCATACACCAATCTGTTTTTCAAAAGTATCGGTAAAGAATTTTAGCCCAGTCTATCACAGCTATTTCTACACTAATTTTTTACTACTGCGATTAAATTAAAACCACTTAGAAGACAAAGCATATTTTGCATATTGCTGATTGGCCAATGTCACGAAGTAAACAAGGAAGTCGTTGCTCGGGGAATAGTCACTGCTTTAACACCGTTGCGTCTTATAGTCCGATGCGTCTTATGTGTGAATAAAAACAATTTATTGACAGTTCTCCTTATGGTACGTAGAATGCGGTTTATGTGTGTGTTTTTGATTTTAAATATTCTATGCTAGCTAATATTAATGTTGAGTGCGGCACAATGTTTTGAAAAGCTGAATAAAATATAATTATAAAAGAAAGACGCATCACTGACTCACCTAATCCATGTTGTTATTTTTGATTACTAGCCAACTTTCTAAACGTTTCAGGGCCAGGGCTCGTCTTTCAGGTTTTACCAGCAGAATTCGCACTGTTATCAGGATCGCAAATCTGGTCTGCAATATTCTTCACAGCATTACTCGGACTAGCTATTGATGGCTCGGTAAGACTAGGAACTCAAACACATTTGACGCTTACTGACTCTGTACAATCATGATTTTAAGTATAGAACAGACTTATCGTAAAGTCTAGTTTTTTTTGCAACATGCAAAAATTTTAAGTTGTGTTTCCCTAGTTTGAGCAAATTATTGGTTATTATTGTAAGAGGGGGAATAAATTGGATCAAAATGGTTACGAAAATTTCTGCCATTTGCGTTCTATTACTGGTGATGGGATTTTGTTTCGGTTATAGTTGTCAGATAAGAACGACCATGGCTTGCTGTAACATGACTATCACAAATATTTGTAAATGAAAACGTCGTCGGATTCGAATGTCGAACTAAAATATTGTTATGTTCTAGTATTAGTATAGAATATATTGAACTGTGATAAGGAGCTTTAGTGATGATAATGAGAATACCTTTATTCATTTTTTTTAGTATGAACCTTTGGAAGGAATAATCACCGCATTAGCAGATTATTATCCTTCGTATTTTGGGCATCGAGGATCTCATTATTGGAGCCTCGGATTGTGTTTGTTACTCTTGATTCTTGGATTACCTCAATTATTCGATGTGAGTATCAATGGAAACGTGGTCATGCTGCTAAATGCCAAGGCGACCATTCTGTCTTTTTGTTTAAAAAAGGTTCCTCCATTGGCAAGGCACACTGGCAAAACATACAAATCAGTTGACATTGTATTTAGTCTATTGATGATTGTTGCTGCGGGCATGCGACTCCCACTTTTGTTTTTAAATGAATTACTCGAATGAATTACTCGACGGGCCGGATTTGGCCCACGGGCCATAGTTTGCCCATGTCAGTGATACTGCGTCCCAATTTTAACGCAGTTAGTAGTCGTGTTCTGAAAAATTAAATGACATGAAGAAATGCAGTATGCAGGAAATAACAATCATATAAAGCAGGGCTACTCAACTATTTTTATCGAAGGTCCGCAAACAAAACTTTAAAATTATTTGGGTCCGGTCTTTTCAGAAATGATATTTCGGCATACTTAAACAAGCACTTCATCGACCGACTAATGATTAGTAGCAAATTAAAATTGTTCATTATGGTGTTATAGTTCTTTTCGTATATATTCAAAACTATGAAAGTCATTTTATAATAGGAAATTCAAAAAGTGGGGCTAATGATCCAAAAAAAAAAATTAGGTGCGGTCCAAATCCAATACTCGAAAGGTCCGGATTCGGACCGCGGTCCGCCAGTTGAGAGCCCTGATATAGAGGACAGGATCGAGTCCAGGAACTTATTGGAAAACATAACGCTATGAATTGTGTTTCAACTGAAGAAATAATCATACTGCAGTAACTAATATTGAATACAGTGCTTCTTTGCCAGAAAATTACATGAAGGCAGTACAAGAAGTATTTAAATGGAAACATTACAATAAATTAATTATCATTCAAACTTTGAATTATTTCTACATTAGACAATGTTAAACTATCTATGTATATGGAACAACATCAACTCACTGAATTCATGTCGCAAACAATAAAAACAGGAAGTGACATATATTATGGAATTTTCTTCTTAAACCCAACTATGACGTCATAGAATCTTACGCTGTCACGTTCTAATTCAATTTGAAAACACTGCTTCCAATCGTTTCAGTGACAATAATATCTTTTAATGAATCACTGATTTTACAGGGAGGAATTTACGTATTTGAGGTAATTAAAATATATGGTGGAAGTGGCATCTGCATTTTATGGGTAGCATGTGCCGAAACGATTACAATAAGCTGGATTTATGGAATTGATAGATTTTTCGATGACGTCACAATTATGATTGGATATCGACCATCAATTTTAATTAGACATTGCTTGAAATACGTGACCCCGACGATATGTATGGTAAGTATAGTCGTATATACTTTTCATTTTCAATAACAGTATAAATAAGACTAGTTTTCTTTATTGAGTCCATCAAACTTATGTGCTACAGATCATATTTATTGCAATCTGTTCAATGTATAAACCGCTCGAGATGGGAAGTTACACCTACCCATGGTGGGCTGATATGATCGGATGGGTGATATCAATATCGGTCGTTGCAAGCATACCCATCATTGCTATAAAGACATTTTTAGAAGCTAAAGGCACATGGGAACAGGTTCGTAAAAATTTAATTGACGGTAGAGGGGGTCTCAAGCCTTCTTTATCCACAGCTTCCGACTGTCAAAAGGTCGCGATTGCCTATCTATCGATGTTTCCCCGACCTTTGAACCTATAAAATTTCCTCTTATGCTTTGCCATTGTAAAATTTCTGATGCTTTTTTTGAGACTGTATTCGAACGTTGTGCTCGCAGTCTGGTAACTTAGGGACTGATTTTTGAATATTGTAAATAAACTAAAACTCTCCAGAAAACGAAAAAATCATTTTAATTTATAGGTATTTAATTGATACCATAGTTATTTAATTGATACCTAAATTTCGGAAATATAACTAAAAACTGACAAATAACCAACGAAACGAGAGAATGCCCATCACCATACCTGAAAATTTGTCTCAATGAAATAAGTGCCTGAGTGGCTTCTGATATTTAAATTGATACGTCATCATCGGCATCTTGTTGCTTAGCCGATGTTACGGAAGTAATCAAGCAAGTCGATGCTCGGGGAAACATCAAACATAGCTTAGAAAGTCGCTGTCTGGTGAAGTGGCTGAAACAAGTTGTTACGTCTCAGCGTATTGCTAATTACAGTCACGTGTGCTCCAGCGTTCCCGCACGTCGCGTAGAGCTTTGGCGTTTGCGTCTTGTCGACTACGCTTAAACAGTGCAAGATTGGTTGGACCTCCTGAAGTATGCGCACCAAGATGGTGCACAACCTGAAATCAGGTTGTGTACCAGGTTAGGGTTCAGGTTATGCGACATCTTGGTGCGCATACTTCAGGAGTAACAATTATTTGTTAGTGAAATACTGAAATATATGCTATTGATTCAAACAGCTTAAAGGACCTTTGTTTGGTCATTTGTGGGTAATTTATGTTTGCTAAAATTGCAAATGGGAAAATCAATCCCATTTTGGACTACGTCCTTGCTAGTTAGCAGAACCTATCTAACTAGGAAACTATCAAGACATTGAAACGCTTATTCAATTTGGGTGTATGGAAGCAGATGTCACGTAACCAACTGAGTTAAAGTGTAGCTAGCCTTCGACTCACGTTACAAACAAATTGTAAAAACGCCACATCTCGCTCTGTCATGGCAATCACGTTGCGCGTCCAAATGAACCGGGTTGAAAATTAAATAAGCTTCGCAAGGTACTCCAGCCAAACGCACTGCACGACTACAGTAGTTGCTTGTCCGTGTAATCGAAAATTAAACGAAACTTTGTAGATTTAATCAATTTTGCTTTATTTTTTTAGAAATGGGATATTTGCATCACTCCTAGACATGAAACAATCTCGAGGATCAACAACGAATTCGAAATGGACAAGTTTATCAACGCAGTTTAAATCAGCTCTGACAACTGAACAACTCACATATGATATCGATAGCATTCTCCCCACGCCCCGGAGAAAAGCAAATTTTTATCTTGATTTTCTTCAAACTAGATCAGGGTTCTCAACCTTTTTGGTGGAGCACCACCCCAATAAAAGAGTCTTGAGGAAACCCTGCGCGATCGTTTAATTGTTTTTGATCAAATACGCATATATGTAAGCAAACCTAATAAGGGCAAAACAAAATAATCTTTAAAGTAACCCAGTTGAAGCTGTGCGGGAAGGACGTGCCGACGGCTCTGAGATAGCGCCAACTGTAACAACTCGGGTAGTGGAATTGAAACAAATGGAACATAAAAGTTAGGAATAGTTTACACCTGAAATGATGGACAACAAAAGAATAGGATTCGGACAATGTGGACCACGTTGGCATTGGCGTAGGCTACCAGTCACTCCAATTTTACATACCCGCATCTCAAGAAACTACATCACTCACATCGGATTTTATTCATAATGAAGAATTCCATGAAAAGACATTTAGATTTTATTATTATTGTTGCTGACACTGTTGTCACATAACACACTACTTCGCAGTTATTTACCTCAATCAAATTATTGGTTTGCTTTAAACGCGACTAGTATAAACAAGCCTAACCATGTTCGCTTTGACGTAAACAGTTTTATATTGGAACACACCTTTTTGCAGTGTGTTTATATTATACGAGTTGGATGCCCTAACAATACACTTTTTTTTGTTTGTTTGTGTAAACTGACACGTATATTCCACGTGTTTTAAACGGTTTTAGGGATTTTGCCAGTTTTCCCAATCAATCAATGAATGATTGATTGATTCTGTGTGATCATTGTTTAGTGTATTTTTTATGTATACTGTGTATCGGGGAAATCAAAATAAACTTATACTTATCATACTTGGGCTTACCATACAGTCAACAGTGGGTACAGTCCCGGCTTTAAAACGCTGTCCTGGTCAGTAGACTTGAACCAATTCATAGTTAATTTTATTCCCGGTATCTACCTGCAAAGGCGTATGTGAAGTTTGTCTGATTCGCACTATCCCGGTTTTGTGTTCTTAATATATGGTAAGTCTAATTATACTCACATCGCGAGTTTACGAAATAGAGACAAACCTAATATGTATTTGATTATATTCAAACAAAATACATACAATAGTATGGATTTGAATGTACACTGACGGAACTCTGGTTACTGACACTGATCTGTCTCATTGACGCATTTCCTTCATATGTCGGATATATTGAAGATACATTGGCAATTCTGAATAATTTGTCTGCACTCCATGCAATTCACATATAAATCTATGCTTCATATAATTCTTCTAATCGTTCACATTTCAATTTTTTCATTGAACAAGAAACAATACCAGGAAAATATGCTGTGAATCACAGTTGGATCAATTACAGTAATCCAGTTCAATTACAATTACTCCCTTAAATATTTCAATTACATTACAATTACCCCGTGCAAAAAATATCAAATTATAATTACATTACAACAGAGCAATGCTCAAATATATGGTCACGTTACACAGAGCGAAGCAGTCTTTACCCTTGACGCTACTGCTACCCTCAAAAAAATTCCGATGTTCGCGTAGCAAGAATCTACAGAATCCAACCAGACAGCCAGTGTTTCCATGAATTTAGCCTATTTTATCACAACTATTTCTAGACTAATTTTATATTATAACTATTAACGCTACAACACCTAAGGATACAAATGATGATTTACTTATTTGATTGATACTTAAATATTCCGAAACACAACTAAAAACTAACGAATAGCATTCGAAATCGCAAAATGAGGTATTGTTTACAACCACGACTGAAAATCTGTCAGAGTGTCTTAACAGATGCGAAAAGGCATAATGATACGCCACTTTTTGCCTCTTGCTGATTGGCTAATGTCACGAAGTAAACAAGGAAGTCGATGCTTGGGGGGAAAAGTCCATTTAACTTGGGAGCACTTATTTAGCATATTAAATATTATGGAGAACATCGAACACTTTACCGGGCGAGATTATGAATTTAAAAACATAGATAGGATAGGCCTAGTGCCATGTTTGCGATGAAATGAGCGAGTAAGTGCGAATATTAAAAGAAAGCAGTCACTTTATTTTTGACAGAAAAAGCAATTATCGTACCGTACGGTATTCGTCGCAATATTTCGCAAAATGACGTCACTGCAATTCGCCCTACCAAACAAAAACAAATCAGAGAATGAACCTTGAACAGAACCAGATCACTGGAATGTCTGAATGTAGACTGTAAAGCACTGTTGTTTGAGACTTGTACCGATACCGGTACCAGTTCCCAAAAAAGCGGAAGGGATGGGACTGAAAAAGGTCGGCCTTAATTATGGCAGGACAGTGCTTTAAGTTCTGAAATTATCGCCTAGTCCACAAAACAGCAAAATGACACTGTCACGAGACCAGCAGTAAGCCTGAAATTTTTTTAACGAAATCTGGAAGTCCTTTGTTTGATTCATTTGATTGCTGCATTGCGAGGATTAAAAGACTTTCAGTTATTCAGAAGTAGTGGTATTTCAGTACCGTAAAAGCAGGTAACTTCGGATGACGCCTACTCCACAAAACAGCAAAATGACACTGTCACGAGACCAGCAGTAAGCCTGAAATTTTTTTAACGAAATCTGGAAATCCTTTGTTTGATTCATTTGATTGCTGCATTACGAGGATTAAAAGACTTTCAGTTATCCAGAAGTAGTGGTATTTCAGTACCGGTACAGGTATTCACTGAATTATTTGATTCAGTCAGTTAGTTTTGTAGTTATAGCTGTATAGCCTAGTTCAGTCCGTCAGTAATGTCAGAATTCCGATTCCTGTATTCTGGTACTTTGAACAATTTTCCCTGAATTCAGCGATTGTTTACAAAGTCAGAAAGTGGAATATCACCCTTATATTTTGTGTAATAGGGTACCGGTATCCTACTGAAAATACAGTAATAGGATAAACGGAAAAACCTTTTACAGCTAGGCTATATGCTGATATGTACCGTAACGGTGTAATTTTCACTCTCCATCTGACAGTCTGATATGCCTATAAAGTGCTCAAAAATCTTCTAATATATGACTGTATGAACTGTTGTGCCATCATAACTTGAGTTATGGCGACTAATGAAGAAAAACCCAGGTGAGCTACTACTACTGTACTAAGCACTAAATTTTGTAACTTATGCTTTTTACATTAAGCAATGTATTTTTAAAATTTTTGCGGTATTTTATTTAGTGAAAATCCATTGGCCCCTGAAGAAAATGAGGAAGCTGCAAGCATGTCTACATGGTTTTCTGGATGGTACGATACTGCAAAGAAAAAGGTATAAATGAGCCCTAACTGATCAACACATGAAATGCCATTTCTGCGATGATCTCTAATAATTTGATGTCTTATAGTGTATTTCCATCCTAGACTAGTTTTAATGTAATAACAAATGAACAATAAATTTGATTGTATGTCCCATCTGGTTAAATTCACAAATCACCAAAGGATAAACGGAGATTTTAGTAACCAAAATTATTTTTATTACTACTAATATATTAGTACTGTTTTCTTATATAATTTAATCTCATCGTCAATATACTCCAGTATGCTCAATCAGCAACTCGGCTCGACGATTGGCACATCGTACTAAGCATTGGGAACATGCTTGCCATTGCACCTCTGATTACTCTGCTAATTACGACAATCATGTAAAAGAGTTTAAATATGAAAATCCCTAATAATAAGTATTTTTGAAGTTATTTTCTCTGCTGGTCAAATAACTTTATATTTTTAATTTTAGCTGGCAGAAACTAATGAATTCATGAAGCATGATTTGCAAGAATTTTCACAAGCAGTTCAGACTGATGCATCTAGAATTGTTGCAGCAACAGCGACAACAATGAAAGAAAAGTTGAATATTAATGTATGATAACTCTTAATATTTATCATAAAATTCATTTTCATTAAACATTGGGACGTGAGATGTGAATTTGAAAATATACCAAGGCTGTGGAATTGGGGAAATTCACACCATACCCTAAACAACCTATGCTCAGGTTAAACAAAAAGTCATATTCAGGGAAAATTTTGATCCTGGCTCGAGCTCCAAACTCACGAATTTTGATATTGAACATGTTGGGAGTGTGTAACCTTCTTTAATTGTTCTTGTCTTAATAGACTTAATTATCTATTGATATTGCTTAGTTGGAAATATCACTCCAATACCAACAAAATTATACCAAACTTTTCAATATAGATCATTATTTTACAGAAGGATTTATTTTTTTTGCGTTATCTCAGGGTTTTTAATTAATTATGGTACCTATCAATAAATATTCCTCAATATTATTTTAAGGTTGACTTGGAAGAGGCCTCTGCAGCAACTCGTGTGGTGAAAGATTCTTTGTCTAACTTTCTTGGAAACATTGCAAACAAAGTTGGTCCTATTCGTCCTGATGATGATGGTAAATATAGTTGAAATTATCAGATCAATTCAAAAATTGAGTTGAGAGCAGAATAACCATAATAATATAATAAGATGAGATCATATTATTTTAAATGTTGATGGGAGACTAGAAATAATTCAGGTCAATGAAATTATGAAAATAGCAAAACATATTAATATAACATAAACAGATGATTTTGACTATAATTGTCACTATTTTTTAATCCAATGAAATATGCCAAATCCCGACTTCACAGTCCTGATGTTATGCTATTCTTAAGTGATAAATTTTTGGTACCTCGACTTTTTGGGTTACACCATTCACTGATCTGACTGATACAATTTATTCAAAATTTTGCTCTTGTATTTCAGAAAATTTAGGAGAGTCTGCAATTATTGGAACTGGTTCTGGAACTAAAGTACTATCTCCTTCAGAGGTATATATTTGAATTTTGAAATATATTCATATAAACTGCGTACACATATCATACATATTGTGGGCATTGTTAAGGAGGTAAAGCTTCTCACAAATTCTCATCTAATTGCTACATATGTTTGATTGTGATCAAAAGCATTTATTGTATGTCATGAACACTGGAGTAATTACAAAAATTTGGGAAGATATTTAAAATTTTATTTGCTGCGTTGAATGAGGATTCTCAAGCAAGTTTTGTTGGAATTAAGCCCTGAACAAAACTGAAAACAAATTCAGAAAAGATCTAAATTATTAAAAACTGCAATAAATAAATACTATTCAGTATTCATATACCGGTAATATAATAAGCGAGAAAATCCAACTTTTTTTTGATTCAGCATTGAAGTGTTGGTATAACTCAAAACTGTACCAGTGATCTAATTTGTGTAATAAGTGCTTACATAATACTGCTGATTCAGCTTAATATGACTAATAAAACAAGACAACTCTTTATTTTATTTTACCAACTCAGGCACGAATATATGCTATTCGTACAGACCCTGCGACATTCTGCAATGAGCCAGACAGTAAGTACTTAAGATTGAGAGTGTTTAGATTGCATTGAATTGAACAATGTTGTGGATGTGAAAACTGACTTATTACTACCAGTGAAATAGCAATTGTTAATGATTGTTATCCCTAATCATTGCACTTGATTAAAATTCACAATCAGTGGTGCCTCTTTTCATCTTGACCTAATTAATGCATAATTTTCTACAGGGATGTATAAATTGAAGCAAATATTATAATCTCTACATTAAAATGTGCATTCTATTAATACTCTATCTTAATCTGTACAACAAGAAGATTTAAATCTCATTAACTAATAAATATGAAAAGACAGCCAAAACAAATTTGAATTTTTTATTTACCCTACTTACGAAATTACTGTTTGGGATATATATTGATTTTGTGAATGTTGTCTTTAAATGGCTTCAAATATTCTTGATGTCTCAGATTCAAGTATATTTTTCAGGATGTATAACAGATAAATCAGTTTTGCTCAACCCTGATTTAAAGTAATCATTTAGTATGCCACTAATCAGAGATTGGGGGCAGCAACACTTTCCACGATAACTCGAGCCAGGCATTGGTTACCTGTCATAAACCCAGTAATTGGTCACATCAACATAAACAACAGCTAATCCTATCTGAGGGTGATCATAATGCAACGATTTCTAAATGGTTATATTCCGTTTGGAAATTTTTTTTTTCACTTTAAAAATAATTTGTAATATTTTACTTGTCTTTAAAACTAATTTGACATCTGACATTTAAAAATTTGCGAATGAAACAATAATTTACATTGATAAATATGTATTCGGAATAGCGCCCTAAGTTATTTGGTTTTGGCTATCTCTTATCGCACTGTTAAAGAAGACCAGTATGGCATTGCAGACTAATTTACAATTGTGCAAGTTCTTTGCCGAAAATCTATGTGTTTCATATGAAATTGTGATGAGTGAATAAATTTTTTGTAGATGAAAATGAGTATCATTCCTGGTCTCCTAACTTTAACCTTGAAGACAAAAAGACTGAAATATCATCTTTGATGCTGGATTGTTCACAGGTATATGACAGGATATTTTTTTTTGAAGTTGTGTTTATCCCAATATTATCAGGTAATTTGTCTACTCGAAAAATTTGAAATCTATGTACTTAGCATATTCTATCAATGATGATCTTTAATAGGGAAATCTTCTATCTGGGAAGATAATTGTTTAATACAATAAAAATTTATTATGAAATTTTTTCTATAGTAATTACTAATTTTTGAGGATTAAATAAATTTGCTGGGAAGCTGGTTAGAAATTCTAATGGCTTTGTCTCCAGAATCTCAGTATATCCAAACTTGCTAAACTTTATTCAGTCATTGATGTTTTGGGCATGATCACCGACTTGAAACATGAGCCCAAATGCAGTTATGTGAAAGTGGAACTCAAAAGCATGATATAAGGGACTAAATATTGAAAATCAACTTTCAAATTTAAATTAACTTCCAAATTCAAAGATTGGAAAGCATTATACATGTGAAAAAGTAATTTGATTGTTATGAGCTGGAGATACTAGAATTTCCTGCAGCTCTGGCTCCAGCTCCAACAAAATGTCATGATCCTAGCTTCCCAGTTTCTCATAACTTGACTTTTGCGTGTGAATAATCATATTTTTGTTTCAAACAGATACGATCTCTCTATACAAAACTGGTACCGACAGCTGTCTCTCATTGCGATTTTTGGGCAAGGTATTACTTTAAACTACATCAACATGAAAAGGTAAGAAATGATCTTTGTATCCAATAAAGCAGCTTTCGTTCTTGTATTGCTAATCAAAATTAATTTGAAACAGACCTAAAAAAATTGGCCATATCAAAATTACACTAACACTGCTCAAATTTACTCCTTTTCGAACATTTTCGCCAACTTTCTCCCTTTTTAGATGCCAAAGAAATATATCGCCGGATGAGAACAGAAGGGGCCTAAGTCACATTTATGGAAATTTGACTTTTTTCAATATTTTGGGGTTTCGAGTCATGCTCTACAAGGTGGTGGTCTTGAAATCCTGAATTTCTCAATAATAAAAATTTTAGCTGGACTTAGGCCTAAAATATTCAAGAAGAGAATGGGCCTAAGTCCAGCTAAAATTTTTATTGTTGAGAAATTCAGGATTTCAAGACCACTACCTTGTAGAGAATGGCTCAAAACCCCAAAATATTGAAAAAAGATAGTCCTAAGTTCCAATATGATGGGCATGAACATCAGAAATGAAATGTCCGAAACTCACATCCCTAAAAATTTGTTCAGTGCAACTTAGACCTAAGTCACCTTGTTTTACCTTGCATCCCATACAAAAAATTTCAGAAGTTGTTGAGAACAGAATGGGCCAAAGTTTCTTATGGGGGTAAAAAAGCAGGGAGGAATTGAAGCTGAAGTGCCAAAAAATATTGATTACAAAGATATTCTCATCCACATTAAAATAACCAGAGCTCAGGACTTTACTAAGTGTGAATATCTAGAAATTCGAGAATAAAAAAATTCCAAATTGTTTTTTGCGTTTTTCTCAAAACTCAAAATTGTGACTTAGGCCTGTTCTGTTCTCATCCGGCGATATGTTTGTTGAATAGGAAGGCTCTCCTGGCTGTAATTGATCTATTTGTCATAAACTTTCCTCTCAATATTTAATTTTTATATCAGAAGTTGGGAATATATTCACCTAAAACAGAGGTTTTCCACTTCCAATCAATCTTTGTGCTACTTTCTTTACACAGGCCGAAGAAAGGCGTGCTCTGTTAGTTGAACGAGCTCAGAAAACTCATGATGATATAGAGTGGGATGATGAAGGTATTTGATAATTTCACCATATTTGAAAAATGGTTTTGTTTTCAAAGAAATTGAATTACTGAAAGAGTAATTTGATTAAATTTGGGCCCTCCAGAAGTGTGTGTACCAATATCATGGAGGTAACTATTTTTGTTCACCTACTTTAAATCAAGTTGTGTAAAAGGGACTGAACCCTATGGGCAGGGGGATATTCACTTGGCTAAAATAGACATTCCTTGAACCAAAATAAGAAAAATCTGACTATGGGATTACCTGGATTCGTTTTTAATCAGTGCTGAGTAGAAGTCACTGTCAGTTAGTTGTTGTTAAGTCAGAGTCATCCTATTAAGACGACTCGAGTCACTTTTGAGTCTATGATAAATCCTAATCCTGACTCAGGTTGAGTCAATGACTTGAGGCTCCCCAACATTGGTATTGATAGAGCCATAAATCTTTTGTACCAATATTTCAAATTATTAAATTGAGAATACCCTGTTTATTTTTAAGTTTGTAATCTGTCCTAATTCCACACAGATGACTGGATTCAACCAAAGTCTGGCGCAGTGGAGTCGTCTCTAGAACCTGTTGCAATCCCAACTGAAAAATCAGAAACGGAAGATGATCAGCTAAAGAAACGCTTGGAAATTCCTCCTGAACTAATAAAAAATGAATCATCAGAAATTAAGAACTCACTTGCCAAAGAGTCTCAAAGCATAGAATCGATCATCACCAGTAAAAGCGGTGACATGATAGCCCATGAATCAGAAACGAAAGATTTTGAAACTGTTCCACAGCCAAGTGCAGACAATGGTAATGATAAACTGAATGACAGAGATTCAACAGCAACCGAACAAATTAGTGAGGATTTATCGATAGAAAAGTTTGCTTCTTCCGCTAAAAAAACAGATCCTAAAGAGATTAACGTTGCTCATGATGATAAAACGTTGGATAGCAAAAGTAAAGATACCACTAGTGATGAAACAGCTAAACCAACTGAGACAGGAAAAGGTATGTTGCAGTTAATGGTACCAGGTTTGATGGTGGTTTATACTTAATTCTTAAGCTAAAAGGAGATTGGTATAAAATCCGATTCCAATAATAGTTTTATATAGAGTATGCATCCCTTAAAATGAGTTATTGGGCCACATTGCCTTGGTGTGCCTTTACGATTTAATATACGGAGCATTCATAATAACTCATTTTATGGGTTGCATTTGTACTTGCATCTTGTATTGTAAGTATCTTGATCCGTATTGTATTATTGGCAGTGCCATCCAGTGGTGAAAGTTCAGATGATTGGGAAAAGGATTTTGATTTGGACATGACGGAAGATGAAATACAACAAGCACTTAAAGAATCTGACACAATTGATGTTGGTGTAAGTTTGTTAAAAAAGTAATATCACAAATATACAAACTACAAGCAAACTAATATCTTAAATACGGTCCAGATTTGACACCAAAGCTGTTTAAAAAGGACTCAAGACTTCTGCTTGACTCCAGCCCTAAACAATAGAGTTTGGCTTGTGTAAGCATTCTGCTAAGAATGTTTTGACTGCGGATGTACTATCAATTTTGTAATAATTTATATTTCAGGATATTGGTGAAGATTGGGAAAACTGGGAATGATCCATCTGCAATCAGTATAAAAATTCTAATTGATCTTACTTCTCTTTAACATCTTACATTATTTTATCGCTGTATCATACATAATCCTTGTTGATATGTCTATATATGAATTCATGGAAACTACTAAGTGTCGACTTCATATGATGGTGTGATTCTACTTATGACATTACTCATATGTGAATAAGAAATTATTTTTCACTGTCAGTGTCACATGTGCAGCTGCTAAGATACCAACCCATGTTGCTGAGTTGGCACAACAGAAGTCCTCTTCCTGCTATGACGTAAAAAAAAACATTTTCACTTGTAAATATGCCTTTGCCAGAAAAGATGGGGAAAAAGTATTAACTAGGTTTGCGGGGAATATGAAAGAGGGAGCTTTGGGAGAAGTTTATGCATATTCCTTGAATCATTGGGGCAGTGAATTTACAATATTTTCACTGATTTACACACCAATTTCAACCACTGATATTGGCAGATCGCTACTTAGCTTTACACTCATTTCACTCATTATTGAATGACAGATATTATAGACTTCTTTTGCTTGTTGCTTGAAAACGTTTTATTCGTGTTGTGAATTCTTGAGTTTAATCTATAAATACATTCTATTCTATTTCAAAACATCAACTGTTGGTGTGACCATGCGTCGCGAAATGATTATCCAGAAGCAAGGGAGTGATTCTCCAAACTCTATAAAGTTTTTATTGTGCAATATTTCAAATTACACAAGTTGTACAAGGCGTAATGAAATCGCAAATAGGCAAAACAAAGCTGGTCATTCAGGCCAATTAGTCTCATGAAATGGGGCAAAGCATTCTCATAGTTCGACAGCACTAAGAGAGGTCAGAGAACAATAGAATATCATACCATTTGGACTTTTTTAAAAATTCAAACGTCCTGAAATCAACATCAGTAATTTATACTCTGATATCTTCCGTCCTATGAAGGGATCTCAAATACAAGAATGACATGACTGATCGTCGAGGAGAATAATTTAAAAAATTCAGTTGAAATGAAACTAAGATGATCAATGTAATATAGAAATTTACCAGCATAATATATAAATACCTCGAATAGATTGTTGAAGCAGAAGTGAATATTGTCAATACAGGAGCAAACAATCCTAGTTTTTGCTTTTGTCAATACGACACATATTTATCCATTAATTCGCTGGTATTTATGAAATTTAAACTTCTGTTGAAGAAAATTTAGTCAAGTTTTTTTTTGCTCTCAATGGGGAATATTTCGATCAGAGCCTGCATATTACAGTCAAGTACCAAATTACATGTCAAGACAGGCAAGTCTAGCTTGGCAAAACAAGTTCAACATAAGAAATTATTCTACAGGAAACTTTGGCATCGTCTTAGTAGTAATATTTGTTCAACAGCAGCATCAAGAATAAACAACAAATAGAAGAAAAAATTGATAATGAATCAGTAATAGATATACAACTAATGGAATTAGCATCCAGGCCCCGGTCAATTATTACAAATAAAGGGCATGCGAATGCTTCGTTAAGCAGGCAATATATCTTCGCAGTTCAACCAAATTAGGTATGTCACATTTTAAAGTTTTGAGGAAATAGCATTTTTGTAATAGTTTGGAACTAACAGCGAAACCCAAAAATGGATATAAGGCATTACCCAAAATCGAAACTGGTTGCTCGACTGTGTGACACATCATGCTGAGCGTTAGGAATACGCTGATGATGAAGATGACCATCCATTTCTAAAAAATGTGACATAAGCTATTTTGATTTTACTACAGCGATAAATGGAACTGTGACAGAAATACACAAGTAAAACAAATAACAGATACACAAAGACATAATGTACAGGCAATATATGCAGATGCAATATTTGATGATGCAATAGTAGGTCATAAAAAAGAGAAGTGTAGGTTTGAATTAGAGTCTTATAGATATAACATCGTAATACTGAAGGTTTCTATATATGTATGTGAAATAAATCACAAAATGCAATAACATTTAAAGGTAAATTACCAAAGATAATTACAAATTGTGGAACAGTGAGTTATGCAATATTAATAAAATAATTGAATTTAATGTCATGTCCTGCATCCAGAAAAATATTTGTCAAAACAAATGAAAATTCATGTCATTTCTTCAAGCTAGAATACACAATTTTAGTACAACCGCCTAAAATATTTTTCAGTGATGCAAAATATCCCTTGGCTCTTTAGAGCATGCTTTTTTCACACTCGGCAGTCAGCAATATATACTTTTTGATAGAAATTTTGTACACATATTTTCGGAAAAAACAGTTCTGTAAATTCAAATAAAAAAAAGGAAATCAACGACCATAAAAGGAATTTTTCTCGCACATGAATGCACACCCTTCGTCTGCTGGATCTAATGAAGATCAAATAGCTTGTTGTGTACTATAAACAAACCCTATTTACAGTCGGTTTGTTTCCTAATATGATGGAGATAAGGTTAACCATGCATTTGCTGTGGCTAATACTTCAAAAATTACCAGAAGACGTGCATGATTTCAAGTTCATTAACATAGCAAATATATCACAAAGGTTATTCATGATCATGAACCCTTCAAAAGGGATTAGGATGCTTTGATTCGATTTCATAGGATATATGATTAAAGAGGGTAATATTTTAACAGCGGTTCTCAATCTTTTTCCAGCTTGTGGCTCATTAAGTAGAACTTGCAGACAATGCTGGACAAGTTGTTTTTGATCCCATGGCGCTGAAGCAATAAATCCTTGTATATGCTCTCATACTTTTGGCTGTTTCTGTTTGATTAAACATGTTCTTTTGCACTAAGAACATTGGTAGAACATAGAGCGGCAGAAAATATTTCTTGAAGGTTTAGATGTGCTAAATGTAATGAGACTGAACACAATATTTTTCATGTTAATTTGGAAAACTATGGCAACTTCAGAAACCATCATGTCACACTAGTGCTCTGCGACTACAGTTTCCGAGCCATTGCTTCAAGCAGTCTTCCATTATTAATTGTCTTTACTACACGTTTGCTCTTCGTCCAAATCTTTGCTTTCTTCAATTGTTGATGTGGGTAGGACATACTTAACGGAAAAGACAGAACATTTTCGAATAATGATGGCCATAATTACACCATACAAAATTTGAAAAAATGAATTCAATAATGGGAACAAACGAATTTTTTCATAAATTGCAATATTGCTTGCGTATGAAATGACAAGAACAGATTGTGATATTTGGCAATTCTGCATTCCAGTTTCAATAGCGATTGTTCGTCGACTTGGCTCCGTTAACCTCAAGAATGGTAGAAGAGCAACCAAGTAGCCAAGGACCATTCCAAGTATAGGTGTTAAGAAGCAGATCTAAAAGAAAGAAATAGAAGATAACAAAACATCATTTATTCCTAGATACAAGTTGGTGCTACAGAAGTATGTGTACCAATATGGGGGGAACTTTTTTTTGCTTACCCTATATCAATTTGTGTAAAATGACTAAAAACCGATGGGCAGGAGGTATATTCACTTGACAATCCCCAAACTCGTAATAGAACTAAAATAAGAAAAACGAATAAAATTATGGCCTAACTCTGACCTAGTACACACACTATGGGAGTACCTACAAGTACGCACAAGAAGCACTCACCAACCACTGCCTCCAAGACAAATAGAAAGACAGTTCGCTGACAATCCCACTAACAATCAGTGTTACAATGATAGCAATTGTTCCAAATATTGTAAAAACCTACAATACAAAAGAATAACAATATGGGGGATAGCTTAACAGAATATTGATCATGAAATAATAGTATGAGATAATTATGAAGTAGGGTTGTGAGGCCAGAAAATTGACAGATGACTCATTTCAAAACTGCACCTGGTTGAAAAACATTGACTCAAGCATAAACAAGTCTTTCCCTGTAGAGAATGCTTAGTCAACTAGCTATTCAAGCGGAAATTGGTTTCAATTCTCCCTATTTAGATAGTGAATTCTGACTCATGATTTCAAAGAATTCAGAATTGTGACTCCTAGGGATATCCAAAACGAATCGAATATATTCGAAATTTATTATAACTGATATAGTGAAATTTGGAATTTAGGAATGATTAAAAATATTTTTATTTAAAAATTGGGGATTTTAAGTCATCTGACAAGAAAATCTAAATGTATGAAAATCAGATGGCAACAAACAACACAGAAAAAGCAGTGACCCTCATTTTTGATAAATTTACGCACATGATTGTGTCTCCACTTCAGAATATATGCAGCCAATATTCGAAAACATTTTCTCAGAGTGTATTCAAATAGTAAACTCGGTTCGGATTCCCATCTACACGGCCCCATAAACGTACTCATTGCAAAGTGAAATGATCAATTTGACTCTTACAAAGAAACTAGTATAATGCGCTAATACAGGCAGCTATACAATTCACAAGGAATTTCTAATCATTAATATTAAACAAAATCATCAACAGACATGGGCTTAACAAAACAAATATTGAAAAAAATACTCCTCTCCTCAAATTTACCTTGGTTATTATTTCTGCTTCTTTCGGTTTATACCTTCGTAACAATGCACCAAATATTACAGGAAGAACCATTATTGCTAGAGCAATACCTTAAGAAGAGTAATATATATTAATTTATAGTGTATTCAAATACAATTATACTGGTATGATGTTGTATTTAAAATTTGAATACATCGAGGTTCCAATAAAATTTGAAAAGCCTTTTCAAAAATTTAAAATTTTTGTTCACAATAATGACCAACTTATGAAATAAAGTAAGATTTAATTTACCATGAAAACCATAATTCTGGTGCATAATAGGTAGGATTGCATAACAATCCGACCATTCAAATCTAAATAGAGTGATACCTCATACAATGTTGTAATTAAAATTCAGAGCCTTACCGAAAATCTTTATTTTTACGATTTTAACGACTATGATTTTATCAGCTCATGAAGTAAAGTTACAATTCAATTATAATCCTGACTAACATATATGCCACAATGCTGATGTATAAAAGATCAAGCCAAATTAAAAGATTTTGAAAAAGTATTCAAAATATTCATCTAAAATAAACAAACCAACTGATATATTAAAAATTTTGGTACTCCTGAAGTATGCGCACCAAGATGTCGCTGAGTTCAGGTTGTGCGCCATCTTGGTGCGCATACTTCAGGAGGTCCGAAATTTTTTTATATTTGACACAAAGTATCCTCGAGCAACAACATATTGCACAGATTACGATTTATGTATTATTGTTAGAGATAAGTGGATTCATGTGCAAGGGTTGTCCTGAGCAAAAAAGCACGCGCAAAGTGATAATTTCAGTTTTACATCTTATTTTTCAATAAATAAATAAATATAATTTAAAAAATTGAACTATAAAAAGTAATGAATTGAAGTATTACCTAATGAATTGAATGGTATCTGTAAACTTTCCTCAATTTGTAGAATGAGTGTGAAGATGAATAACCAAAGTGGCATCGAACCCAATGCAATCACTGTGCTCACTGCAGTCATGGAAATACTAAAAAGAATATTAGAACTTCAAATTGGGTGCTCCAGAGGTGTGTGTAGTGTGTACCAATATGGAGGTAACTAATTTTGTTCGCCTACTTTACATCAAGTTGTGTAAAGGGACTGAAACCTATGGGCAGGAGCCAAGAGGATTTCCACTTGGCTAACACAGACAGTCCCCGAACTCGTAAGTCGTAATAGAACTAAAAAAAAAAAATTCACTTCAAGTAATACAAATCATGACGAATTGAAAAGAAAATTTAACTTGATTAACTTTAAATTACAATAAGGTAGATTTTTACAACATATGCACATTTGTTTGTTGTGATATCTATTTTGGAGCATGTGAACGATCGTGATCAAATTACTTTTATGATTTTTATCATATCATGCCAAGTTTTTGGTTCAGGAAGATGGGTACTCCCATAGTATGTGTACAAGATTGGGCTTATAGTTTAATTCAGATTTTCTTTTTCACACTTTTTACACCTTAAATTTATGTCTCCATGAATCCAATATGTGATAATATTACTCATCATTCCACCAGGGGCTGTCCCTTGTATTAAGACAGCCATTGCTTCATCCTGTGGTATCTGAGTAACAGAAACGAACGCCAAAGCCAATACTGAAAATACAAAAAATAGGAATGATCCAGACCTCATGGTTTACACACAGCGTCTGAAATTGCGCTAATGCACCCTGTCGCTCAGAACAGGTTAAAAGAATTGTAGGGTGGTTGTTATCAACTTTCCACTCCCCCGGGATAAATATGTAAATCTTATTCTATCCTAAATTGCGAATGCAAAACATGATTAATATTCCACAATATAATTTTTCACAAGAAGTGTCATAACATGCCTGTTATCTGATGCTATATCAAATGCTTAGTCACGCCGATAGCTATAGCCATACCAATATATGCCAAGTATCAAATACAACGCCATTTTAAAAACCAAAACAACACTCATGAAAGGTGAATTATTGTAAATTGATCTCTTTGACAAATATATTTGACTGTATGCTTATTTTATTAAGTGTTTAAAATCTACACAGTCATTTTTTTTTTTATGATAAATTATCTTCTCAAATTATAAGACATCAGTCATAGGCCTAAATATAATTTTTGTCACTAAAATTTATTACAATGTGACGTTACCCATCAATCAAGTGAAATACAAATTAAGAAACAGTTTTGTAGTCTAATTATAGACTTTTCCCTCAGCATCTTACATAGACGTTTTACAACAAACATTTGCCTATCAATAAACAATAGACAATTATATAAAATACTGGTAATAATCGTTTTTCTATTACTGTGTTTTTCCCGAAAGTAAGACCTACCCTGAAGATAAGACCTAGTCAATAACGCGAAATTATTTTTGACCTAGTGATAACAAGAAATCTCTCCTTCCCTTTTTAAATGATTGAATAATCTATGTTTTGCAGTTATTTATAAGTAAATAGATATCGGTTTTCATATTTTGCATATTTGAAAATCTTGTAATTCTCTACTTTGCAATTTTGTTTTTGGTAAATGAAAATATAAGACACCCCCCGTAAATAAGCCACTGTTATTTTTTGAAAAAAATTGAAATGATGGGGTTGAATTTGGGACGGCCACATAGTTAGGTCTACTGAAATATTGAAATAATAATTGGGCCATAATTTAAAATAAGAAATAGAATAAAATAATTTCCATCTTTTAAAAATTGAAAAACGTGTTGACCCTCACCCTACAAATAATTGCTAAATATGTACGAACAGCTTCAATTCCATCTGCAATAATAGAACAGAAACTGAAAATACAATCCATAATAGTGAAAAATTGGGTTGTTTCCATAAGGCATGATCAATATGCAAATGTCAAATTATTGATCAGTGTCTTCCTTATGGTTATGTGTGTGGATTATTTGTTTCAACCAATATTGATTAAATGATTATGAAAATAACAAATCAGATCGTATCTGACATATTGGCTTAATGATATTTCTTACACAACATTGGCTATGGCCTAACCTGTTTTCAAATGTTTCCGTTACTTAAAGTTAGTGTATTTATGTCTGTAAGTTAAATCTTGAGTGCATTTCAAAAAGTATATTGGTTTTGTAATATTTTCTCAATTTTCATAAATGTAGTAAATGATAATATATAATTTATCCATTTAATCTGAACATAAAAATAGGAATATGTATATTCATGTTGATTAACCTAAAAACGTAGGTAGGTATATTATTTATTAGGTCAGTTCTACTATAGTTATTTTCCTAGAACCAAGTGATAATGAAAAAACTACAGTAGTCTATACAAAGTATGTCCCTCTGGCGGGTAATGTCGTCAAAATTTATCATAAACTATTATTTTCATTTCCAAATATTCCCCCAATAAAATTGACTATTAAAAGTAACATAACCGGTTTTAAAATATTATGACAATACAAAACGACAATTTTTTAATCCATTTTTACTCGCGCCAATGAAAGGTTATCAGTTATCACCCTCGAATAAATATTCTGCAATTTTAATATGTAGTAAAAAATTTAATAGAAGTCAAACAGCAATACCCCCTTTATCTCAAAAACAAAAATTGGCAAAACAAACCGTTACCAGGTTGGTTATATACTACTGTCAAGAGATAATTTAATTTTTCAAACATTTTACACTTGAACATTTAAAGCATTTACTTGCTACCACAACTCATAGTAAATTTTAGTATTCTACATATATTATTTTATAACTTTGCTATTAGGCATTAATAAATGTACTTTATTTTATGCATTCTCATTATGAGGCTTCTCTTATGGCTTCAAAACACATAACAATTTGAAATCGGTTTTATTCTTTGATTCATGAATCATTTGAATTAGGTTCTTAAAGAAATTTACAGCATTTGGCATTTAATAATGGTCTTGATAAAAGTTAAGACTCAAATTAACTACTGGCAGTATCTAAAAATGGGAGTTGAAAAAAATTTATCTCATGTAGGCCCTATGTATGTTTTGTGCATGAATAGAGCAGAGAGAATGGATATCCACTACATTCAACTTTCAAGAATTTTCAATTTTTCTTTTAATTATGAACCAAATCAGAATATCCGTGACACAAGAAATGACTATTTTGAGTAATTCGTACGAATTCCAATTCATTATTCACACTAGAATTAAAAATCAAATTCTCACCCATTCAACAACTATTTAAAGGTTAAGTATACCGTATTTGAAATAAAGCTTTGATTTGTGTGAATATGCATATGTCAGAAAACGACTGATTGCTAGTCATACTCTTCGATTGCTAAGTTTGAGTCATTAGGTCAATCAGATATATAAACTTAACCAACTCAATACACTTGATTTCAATATATTCATACATGGAAACATATATTGTGAAGCAGGTATTTGGGTCAGCTACTTTTTATCGATTCCAAGACATAAGATAAGCTAAATATGCCAAAAAAAAATATCACATATATTACAATTATACGGCATTTCCCTATATTTGTGAAACAAGACCAGTCATTGCTTCATTTTTTTTATTTTCCTACTTTAGAGTGGATTTTTTATCAAAAAGACGAAAATCATTGCGATATCTCATCATTTCACTTAGTAAGATTTTTGGTCAAATTGTAAAAAGATTTTATGGACTCTATAAGTAATTTCGCCTTTTCGATAATACATTTACATACTGTAATTAAGCTATACAAAAAACAACTATATGATCAAACTTGACTTTCATATTATTGAACTTTTATTTATTAATTTGTCAACTAAAACAATCAGAAATGAAAGCAAAAATATAGTAACAGACACATTTTGTTTTGGTGTCGACCGGAAGGCGATACAACCATCAAAGTCAGCTCGTCTCAATATTCACTGCTATGTATAGGATTCACAGTTATTAGATGACTCTATATAAATATTAGCGAAGTATTTAAAACTAACCTGGCATGATTATAAATTGATTGAAAATTCCTGTGCAAATTCCTGCTGGATGTTTAAAATGAGAAATAACTTTGGCAAAATCTCCTGCACATCCGACACCAAACATAACAATGCACAAAATGATACTGAAATATAAGGTAATTTTACTGATTATTAAGTATGTCAATAAAACTAGCACAAGTGGAAAAATGAAAAATATTATCTATAGATAAGATACGAAGAGAGAGAATATATTGATTCATCAAACAAAAAAACATAATATACAAATCTGAGATAATAATAAAATAATTTAAGGTTGCAGTGAATGAACATTACAGCCATTACTGCATTAAATAGATCAATGTACAATACAACAATACAATGTAGCGCATGCAGTATGACTCACTGACTTATCAGTTCATGTAAATCACAACCTTATAAAAAATTAACCCAGTAAACTCGCCTTAGATATCGCTAATCATCTGATATTTATAATTAATTTACTCAATGAAACTCACCTGAAGCAGACCTGTACAATTGTGGAAATGTCTCGAGGTGGATTTGTTGTTGTGCCATTTGTAACATTGCTAACAAACACTGTTGTAGGATACGTTGACAAAGTACTATTATCCATTATTCTTGTGAAGGGGTACCAGTATGCCAGTGCAGAATGAAGTCAAATGCTCAAGTGTCAGATTATTCAATCAGTCACAATGGAGATCAACAAGCTCTCAACAAGCGCCAGCATACACCATTTCAGCATTTAGATACAGCACGCACCACTCTGAAAGTAATAGGAAATCGCACTGTCTTCTTTGTGATACAGAGCACAAGTTAGCAAATAACAAGTATCGAATCGAAACATCATCCTTTTTATTTAAAAATTCCTTTCCTTGTTATTAAAGAAAAATCCTGATAGTCAAAACCCGCAATGACCCAAGCGTAGTCAGGTATATAAGGACTTTGAGCGTAGTAACCCACGAGTGCCCTCTGCTGCCAAATAATAACATAACACCCTTCCATTTTAATGAACCTATCCCCGAGCATCGACTTCCCTGTTTACTTCGTGACATTAGCCAATCAGCAAGATGCAAAAGGTGACGTAACAATGCTCCCTTTTCGCATCCGTTCAGACATTTTTTCTCACTCAGACAGATTTTCGAGCGTGATCCTAAACATTACCTCGTTTTCGCGTTTATGAACTCTATTCGTTAGTTTTCAGTTGTGTTTCGGAAACTTAAATAATAATCAGATAATCCAAAGATCACTCTGGTCCTCCTAGGAGTTTTAATTTAATTTCATTGATAAAAATTAATGTAGAATTAGCTGTGATAGACTAGGCTAAATTCTTTACCGGTACTTTTAAAAAACCTATTGTTGTATGCGATAAATCATAATGATGAGTTTGAAACACATACCCCATTTTACAGGCGCCAACTCGAAAAAGCACTCTTAAATAGCCCCGAAAATTTCGCAATGGTAAAAGTATAGGAAAGGATTTTCCGGGGCTCAAGGTCGGGGAAAGGTCCATAGTAGCCAATCGTGGCGTTGGCCTCCATGACAATATTTTCTTCTCCGAAGAATGCATTTGGAGAAAAAAGAACGATCCAGTTCATACGACCAATACGTTTCCCATATCATAATCTATAGCAGTGGTTCTCAACCTTTTACTGACCGCGTACCACTTTACTGTTTTTTACTATGGCCGCGTACCACCGACAAAGCTCCTTTTTGGCGTGGGAAAAAAGAAACAAGAAACATGCTATGTGTGTATTTTATAATGTGGCACTACATCCTTTGTGGCGTAACACGCAAAACGAACAAAAACATGCCCATATCGCTTCCTTTAAGGTGGGCAATGGCGATCTCTAAAGACAAGGACCGATAGCGCACCAGCGCTATGGACGTACCCCGACCATTAACCCCGGAAAAATTACTCTTATACTTTACTATTGCAAACTTTATGCTTATTCTGAGAGTGTTTTGGTATGTTGGCGCATATAAACTGGTTTACGTGTTTGAAACCATAATTTTTATTAAAATTAATCAATAATGTGTCGTTTGCAGGTACTGATATAGCTAAGTTTGGCCGCATTTGCAAGATTCAATTTCGATCACTGCAATCAAAGTAAAGCTCCGCGCAAGACATAATGCCAATTAAGCTAATTAATTCACTATTATTTTCTTGAAACACAACTGAAAACTGACAAATATCACTCAAAACTACAAAAATGAGGCAATGTTTGCAACCATCCTTGAATATCTGTTTGAGCGACAGAAGTGTCTGAGCGGCTGAGTGCAGAAATTGTAATTGTTACGTGTTGCGTCATTATTGACTTATTGCTGATTGGTTATAGTTACGAAAAAACAAACAAGGAAACTGATGCTTGGGGAAACATCTATAAACGCTGTTCAGAGAATACATACAGTAAGTAAGATAAAGCGTTGCCGCCATATTTTAGCTAACTGAAAGGTTAATTGTTGCAATAATTCAAATCTGCTCGCGTACCACTCGAAAAGCTCCCGCGTACCAATAGTGGTACGCGTACCACAGGTTGAGAACCACTGATCTATAGTCATATAAAAGCAAAATGCATTCTCATGCCATGGCAACACGTGTAGCAAAAGCCAATTGTGTGCGAGCATGATTGAATACTAGAGAGTACTTGAATACTGGAGAGTATCAAAAGATAGAAAACACCAAATACGATATCTATCAATCATGTGGCAATACACGGCCCCCCTCTGGTTCAGTCGGGTATAGGAATAGTTAACCAATTATTCATTTTAAGACGCAAGAATTAATTCTATATCTTTACGATTCTACGATGTGTATTGTACAATGATAATAATAATAATAATCAGAAAAGAGAATAACGGCAGATAAATAATATACAGATGCGACATTTCCACGTGAATTATCGGCGACGCTGCAGTTCACCGTACAAAAACTTAATGAGGTTGATTTTCGAATCAGGATTCGGTATGGAAAGAGTGTTCGCCAATTAGCATTCTACCATTTGGACGCGCGAGTGCCGTTGAGCATAAAATAATTAATTATGGTTACTTGTTGTATAATTGGCCTGTATCGAGCCTCTCTAAATAACTAAATGTATACAGTGTTAAAATATGTTGGATATTACATCCTATATTTTTACACTATGCCGAAGCTTTAAAGTTACCATGCCGACCAAATAGCTCTTTACCATCAACCCATGGACATAGGAATTAAATTTAATGATACTATCATTGTAAAGCACCTATAATTACAAATGGAATGTGTGATACGTTTCCCATATCATAATCTATAGTCATATAAAAGCAAAATGCATTCTCATGCCATGGCAACACGTTGTAGCAAAAGCCAATTGTGTGCGAGCATGATCGAATACTAGAGAGTACTTGAATACTTGAGAGTATCAAATGATAGAAAACAACAAATACGATATCTATCAATCATGTGGCAATCCACGCATTCTACGGCCTCTCCTCTGGTTCAGTCGGGTATAGGAATAGTTAACCAATTATTTCATTTTAAGACGCAAGAATTAATTCTATATCTTTACGATTCTACGATGTGTATTGTACAATACTAAAAATAATAATCAGAAAAAAGAATAACGGCAGATAAATAATATACGGATGCGACATTCCCACATGAATTATCGGCGACGCTGCAGTTCACCGTACAAAAATTTAATGAGGTTGATTTTCGAATCAGGATTCGGTATGGAAAGAGTGTTCGCCAATTAGCATTCCACCATTTGGACGCGCGAGTGCCCGTTGAGCATAAAATAATTAATTATGGTTACTTGTTGTATAATTGGCCTATATCGAGCCTCTCTAAATAACTAAATGTACACAGTGTTAAAATATGTTGGATATTACATCCTATATTTTTTACACTATGCCAAAGCTTTATGCCGACCAAATAGCTCTTTACCATCAACCCATGGACATAGGAATTAAATTTAATGATATTATCATTGTAAACAGCTATAATTACAAATGGTATGTGTGATAATTATTGAGATTAGCGGTTTTCTTACTTCTAAGAAAAGGCACATAATAAACATACAGTATTCACACCTATGTATTTTGGCAAGTACAGAAAAAGAGCAACTATTCGCAGTGAAATGTTGTAAATTCTACAGTGAGATCAAAGTTCTTAACAGCAAAAACACTGTTGACACGGTTCATTTTTGTTACAAATTCTGACTGTATATCGTCGGCGTGAGTGTTATTGGACACGAAGTGGACATAACGATCGTTTCAATATTATGTTGTTGTTGTTCTTGTTCTTTGACACGTTTTTAAAAAGTCGCTTTTCTCTTCGAATACTGGACCAATTGCTTTGAAATTTTCAGTGGTTGAAGATAAAATTTTTCTCCAGAAGGCTATTACTTTTATTTATTTTAAAATTTCCTGTGGACTTCGAGAGATTCGTTTTTGTGTTCAAAGAAGTGATCAGAATAAAAATAGTGACATCTTGTGGCGATTGCGCGAAGGCATATCAACTGAGAAGCGATCGTAATTCTTGCTCCGCTAAGAGTTGTTTATGGGGAATCGAGATGTTTGGGGTTACCGGTACCCGCAATGCAGCAATGCAACGGTTTGCGATAACTTCTTAGCTAGTTGACTATTACTACAGCTTCGCTTGGTGACCATATATTTGTTGACTGCGGTATTTACTGTTATCAGGTGGTATTTCAAATTATTTCTCAATAAACTCGAAAGGTTTTTGAGGTTAAGTTAAACTACCGGTACTGTTTCGCTCGCTGTTCAATCAATCAATCAATGTTCCCTTTCCATATATTTCAGTATTTGTAGACTGTGGTTCCCGTGTTAAGCGAAAGTGATACCGGTACGATAGCTGGGAAAGCTATGACAGTCCCTGTGGCCTGTACGGCACGTACCGGTACCGTTTACAGGTTTACTTACCGGTACCGTCTTACCGATACCGGTATCGTAGTCCGTTACGGTACGTACCGGTACAGCTGTACAGGTACGATATCGGTAGACTAGTACAGTATTACTGTACTAGTTGCATTAATTATATTTGTTTAGAGTGTGTGCCTGCATTGAAATTAAGTTTTTGTAATGAGCCAGCATGTCTGCAACAGCTGTTATGCCTTTCTAATTTTTTCGCTGTTTCGTTACATTTTTTTGAAACAACATTTGCATAATACGTATGGTACCGTATGCAGAGGAAGAAACTTCACAAAATTTCAACATGTGCAGCAGGTTAGTGTACATAAATCAGTAAATACAGAATATGCAGAGAAAGAGACTTACAAAAAGGATAAGATTTACATAATTATCCCGATGGAGCAGGAAAGCCTATAGAACGGCTTAACCATATTGCGAACCACAGCCTCTTGTCTGGTTACCGGTAAGGTACCATTCCAAGTCTGGTGATGGCTGTATGGGGATTAGTTAGTTATTTGTTTTCGGAAGCATGGATTTGATTAGTTTAAGTGGCCAGCATATCAAATGTCTAATATGGAAATAAAAATTTCATTATTTTCGCTATTTTATCTTTTCCCGAGGTCAATCAAAATCCTACACAGTAAAAATACGGCGCAGTTCTACCACTGCATGGCGGCTGCTACCACGAACGAACCGCGCCGTCTCTTGTCGTGATTTTATGGCGGTTGCACCGTTATATTGAGAAAGTCATGTATCAAGTTTTTAGTTTATTATGCAGAATTATATTCTACATAAACCTGAAACCTAACCCCAAATCCATCAAAACTGCATCCATAAGAAAAATGTTCCAACTTACCCAAGTTTGTCGCCACCAGAGGCAGTCTTACTATTACAGCCTACGTATTTTTCTGAGGGTAATCTCATCAAGTTTACAATGTGCTCTTCTCCTATAATGATGCAGTTTCCAGTTACACGTCTAAAAGCTGGAGCAAATGAAACTATTTCTGCTATCACATAGGCTTGCCAGTCGCCAGCTGGTAAGGATAGCATAAGGACAGGGCTCCTTAACACCAGTATTAAAATATGCTTTGCTCTATCGTTATCCAAATGCATGGGCTGAAAGTTAATTAAAAATGTTTTTATGTGATTCATGTGTGGAATCATGTCCTGAAAGAAGCATACAAAAATTTGTAAGCAGTAATAATATTTCATTCACGTATATGGGAACACGTTTAAAGACAAACTATAAGTCATTTTGTCATCTGTTTTTTTATATTGCTGTGATTGTTCAGTTTTATTCAAATATAAATTGATCGATACTCACCTATTTTAAAAATCAAATTGTTGCAATTTGCAGATGTGAGAATGAAAATATATGACCACTGTACAGTCAATGACATAGGTATGTGCCAAATCATATCAAGTTTATTTACATGTTTACTCTTACTGCATTTGCAGTCAAATTAACTTATTCCATTTTTTTGTACGCTTGCACAGCTGCAATGTTTATGCTCATCTTTTAGCCTTTTTTCATTACAGTTCTGCGGTAAACAACATCAATATGCTAATAAAGAAGCATTACAATCTTTCCAATAGTGTTCAACATGTTATGAAATATGGTTGGTCGCGGTTTCATCAATGCAAAAATATTGCCGGTTTAACAGCGTGATGCAATTATTGCAAATAGTTTTCGTGTCCATATATTTGAGCATTGCTCTCTTGTTTAGAATTAGATTTTAGTTCATCGACATCGCTATGCTAAATTCCGCCACAATGATCGCTATATACAAGAACGCGTCATTTTTTTACGCGGTCATCGTCATAACCAAATGAGTGAACCCGATTCCCAAATTTCCATCAACCAATGACTAAGAATTAGGACCGAAAATCGTGTTTCATTTTTCGAGTCGGCGCTGATTAAGTCAGTTGTTATGTAACGCTTTTATTTGTGCTTATAAATTAATACCGCTAACTTAAAATTAACGATATTATCATCAACGACGCCGGGATAACGAAAAATCCGCCATACTATAATATTTGAGAGCTAATTTGAACGCTATAAATTGCAAGGAGTGCAAAAATTTCCCATTCGCCATTATGTTAGGTCACTATCGAAACTGAGAATGAAAACAATTAATTCCGATTCAATTTGCTTTTATATTTATTGTCGTGGGCGCACAAACCATCTCGACTGAGAATTATACGATAATAATTGTAAAATATTTTCAATCCAAAACATTCTCGACGTGTTACAAGCACTTCCTGTCGGTGCTAATAGAAATCCGTTCATGTCGACTGTAATTTATTGTCGCAAGCACAAGTCTGTCTTTGATTACGATAAAAAAGTAATTGTAAATTGTTTTCAATCAAAACGAGGCCGGTAGCGCTAGAACGTTTGCGCGATATTCGGTAGGGGAGATGCGGGAGAGATGAACCATTCTTCATATATTTAGTTATATCTCCTCAATCGTTCGTAGCAATTTGAAGACGCTCATATCGTCCGAAGGTCATTACCTCTGCTATATTTCAGTTATGTCTCTTTTAATCCAACTGACCCTGTTTCTGAGTTATACCAGTTTTAAAAAGGGATGTCAGATGTCACAAGTCTCCTGCATGTTGAGGAGAGTTGTGCATACCATTGATGAGAGTTGAGCCGCTACATGCAGAATGGCACGGGAAGTAGCGTTTAAGTTGCAATCGGGAGAGTATCTTTCACAAATGTGAGATGCAAATACTTCTGTATCGGAACCGTGAAGCAACTGGGCAAATTTAACTTAGCTAATCTAAAATAGGAATCAATGCATCTATAATCTTATTTATTTTTGTCAGTCAATACTGAATGGAAACGAATTATACCACCGAAGCCTTCTTATTACACCTTGGTAGCACCTAGAAATCGAAAAGAAACGTTTATTCATAAGTTGAGATAGCGTGTGACAGAGTATGTGAAAATCAAAGATTCCATTCATCGAGGTCACACGACAACGTGAACTGGGTGCGACGTGAAGTTCCAATAATGCTAGGGATTGGTAACTTTCTTGCAATGTCTTTCTTCGACCAAAGTGCTTCATCTTCGACATCCAGAATAAAAGTAGTTCGGTCATTTACGCTTAAAACCCGGCGGAGAAACACCCCTTCGAACTTTTTTCCTTCGAAAGCATCAACTCTTGCGACGTAGTGAACAATTCGAGATTTTCCACTAATCTTGACTATGACAAAATCGCCCTCGATAATATTTTGATCTTCCTCCTCTGAGTCATCAGTATCATCGCACAATTCATTCTCGTTAGATTCAGTTTCGCTCGAAGAAGTGCTACATCCGGATGGTGCTACCCTCACTCTAACTGTTTTCTTGTTTGCAAAGAGCATTTTTTTAGCCCGGCCGAAGTTCTTTGCTCTATTTTTTTTTTATCCTAGCCACTGATTTCGCTGCTATTTTATATCTAACTGGCGTGTCTGTCAAAATTTTCGTGCTACCTTTTTCCTATTGAAAGCTTTCCCCTTCCTTTGCCCTGCTTTCGGTAAAGGTAGTATATCACTTGGAGACACATAAGGAGTCTCCGCGTTGGTAGTCTGCACTGCTCTAATCAAACCAGTATTGCTCTCAACGCCAGTTGCTGATTGAATTGTGTTATCTTTTTGGTTCATGGGAGTATCGGGATTTCTCTGTAAACCTGACACACTTTCAACATTGTCTACTGCCAAGCAAACTGGATTTTCGCGATCTGTAACTGAAGATGGCGCATAGTCTTCATCTGAGAATACGTCGCTGTTGAAAGGCATAATACCAGTGCTGTGGAAGCCAGCTAGGATATTACGCGGTACAAATGCGCAGATGTGAGCTTCGTTCACCAAATGAGCTATGTCGTATATAGACACAGTCTTACCCGGATTGGACCTCATCCAATTATCCATCGCGCGCACGTAGGCTCTTTTGTATGGTCCATAAACAGTCTTGTCTAAAGGCTGGAGTTTGTGGGACGTGTGTGGAGGGATGGTCAACACCACAACTCCGTTCGCCTTTGCCTTGTCAACAGCTGTCAGTGAAACGTGGGCCTCGTGATTGTCTAAGATGAGCAATACCTTTCTGTCGGGTATACAGCGTGTATGCTTAATGAAGTGATCGAGATAGTTGACAAACGTTTCCTCGTTAATCCAACCTGATCTGGTGGCCGCACCGTCAGATCCCAGTGGCGCACCTCGTATGAAGTGATTACGATAATTGACACGGGGATATATCATGTAGGGCGGAATAAATCCACCAGCAGCCTTGATCGCATTGACTACGGTTACCAGCTCACCTCTTTCACCTGATGTGACAGAACCAATCTGCTTAACCCCTTTTTCCGTAACAATGCTCTCAGGCTTTTGCACCGTATGCCACCCTGTTTCGTCGATGTTATATACGTCTTGTGCCTCGAATTTGTGTTGGTCCATTACTTTGGCAAGGTTTTTGTAGAACTGTCCCACTGTATGGCGATTAAATGCCGTTGCTCTGGCTAATCAAGTAGCTTCTGGACTTCGAATTGCAAGGTTATTGCGTGCTTTCAATCCAAGCCAAAACCCTTGACCAGTTTTTTTGTTGATTTTCCAATTTTGTGGCACATCAACATCGTTTCTTTCTGCAAACTCACACGCCAAACATTGGCATTTATCTTTGGATAGGCCATGGTAGTTTGCTGCAAGTGTTTTGATGTGACTAGCTAGTTCAGCTTTCATTTCAGGACTGAATATCATATTCTTGAGCTTGCAATTCTTGTATCCGCTTGTACCAAGCGGGTCATGTTTTTGTTTATCCAAGTATCGCTTAAGCGTCATTCGGTCAACATCAAATGTTCTCGCTGCCGATCTAATACTGCATCCCTCTTTTACCGCTTCTGCCGCCCTTTCGCCGGATCACTTCCACGGGTTGATTTTCTTTTGTATGTTTGCGGCATCGTATGATAAAGAAAAAATGTGATGAAAAATATATCCAATGCAGGAGCGTTGAGACACGGAGCAACCCTCCTGGGGACCACTGGATCAACCCTCCCATGATCGGCCATCTTCCCATTTGAGCTCCGCTACTGCCGAATGACTACTCGACGTGCGCTGCAATAGACTTCATTAGAGCATCACAACATAGACTACACAATGACTTAATGTGACTAAACCACGACCTGTAATATTATTAATAGTAAACATATTACCTGAGATCATGAAATTCACTTTTTGCTGCGATTCCGGCTTTTTCATTGACTGTTTTCCACCAGGGCTACAGAACGTCTGCTTCTCACAGCCAAATATAAAGTAATGACACAACCTACCAACAGGGGGCGCGCGAGCATTCTATTATCAGTAATCAGTAGTTTATTTTCTCACCATACTAAATGCGCACTTGATATACAAATTGCAATAAATAAATAAAAGGCATTTCAGGGTGAGGGGAGCCGCGAGAAACCAAATTTGGTTATCGAGCAGCGGCACCCATAAGCAAGTCTAACAAGGAAATAATAACAAAAAAAAGTCGAACTGTGTATACACAGTATCATATATACGTTAATTTGAAAATAAATATAAATACGTCAAGGCATTCCAACCAGGTATGCCCAGTAATCTCGCGTTTCAACAACAACAAAACAAGAAACGACTCCGTGCACCAATTATCTAAGTAGCCATGACGATAGCTGCTTTTAGGTAAAGGATAGGATAGGATTTACATATTTATCCCGGGGGAGAGGAAAGCCGATAAGACGGCTTATCCATATGGCGAACCACGGCCTCTCGTCCGGTTACCATTCCAAGTCGGGTATGGGATTAATTTTACTGTATTGTTTGTTTTCGGAAGCCTGGACTTGGTGGTGGAGGAAGCCGTAACCGACCAGCGGTTACGTGAACCACCCAACGACGGCGAGGAGTCCAGCAATCCTCTCGCACATAACCATCCCTGCATGGGATTCGAACCTGCGAGCCCACGCAGAGTAATTAGAGGTGCGGTGGCGAGCGTATTCCTAACGCTTAGCCCGTTGAGCCACACCGCCGCGCAAGTAACAATGGTACCATTGTGAAGTGACTGTGGTCGTATGTAGAACATTGTATGGTGCAGGCAGGGCTACAGTTGTTTAGGTATCAATGGTAAAAATGAAGTTTCACGAACAGGAAGCCTACCAGTAGTATGGTATGCATGCAACGGTAGTACCGGTAGTCATAAATAACTTAACCTTTTATGGTAAGAAAATTGAACTTCAGTGTGTAACTGGAAGGCACATGATCAATGAATAAATGGTATTCTACAAGATCAAGGTAGGATTAAATTTCATGTGGAACTAACCACTTCATACAGAACATGGAAAAAGCAAAGGTAGGTAGATTGTTAAAAATCTAATGTCAGTCAGTTTATGACATAACGATGCCAAATGTACAAAGATAAAAAATAAAAAAAAATTTACAATCGAATATGGTTTAACATTAAAATGATGTTATTAAGGGTGCCAGTGACCAAGATCTTAGTAACTTAGATCAGGCTCAAATATTACCAATATATAACTGACTATATTACATGACATCACAGTGCATGAACTATGCATGGTTTCTTCTTACATGATATCCTCTCATTCACACAGTGGGTCAATCAGAGATGAATCAAATATGTAAAAAGAAACAACTCATAGTAGTAAATAGGTAATAAAGAGGTCATGGTGAGAAAAGACAATATGAGCTTTGCATTGGAAGCATGACTGATTGTAAATGCATATAGCAGGACAATTGTCATTTAATAAGAGAATGATACCTAAAATTTTTGATTTAGGTCAATATTTTAGCAAAAGCTCGCCCTTTGATATATTGGGTGAAATTAAAAATACAGTAAATACTTTTTGTAAGGCTGGGTCCATGTAACATACATAGGTAAAAATATTTGTTTGATTACACGATAAATTCAAAATTATATATTCAGGTACTCTGGATCACTGGATCAAGTCGACAGTGGAGCTGGCAATGGCGAAGAAAGTTCTGGATCCACTTTAATCGGATGAAAAGGCAGCAGAATGGTAAAGGGAAAGCATGAATTTTTTGTATTTAAATTTAAAGGTGTCATAAGATGAATGACGAAGGCTTTGACCTATGCTATTCCAAATTACAACTCCCCTGTATTTCAAGGAGTTTTGGCATTGCTTGATGAAAATCGAGGGACAAATAAATTGGATTCAGTCGATGAGCGTGTATTATGCTCATGCACGTTACTAAGCATGACGAAATAGTCAGCAAAAGCTGGGGGCAATTGGTTGTTGTTAAATTGGTGCATAAGTTTAGAAATCTCTAGTTTATAGATGTCGGACAATTTTAGAACCCTGGTCTTGTGGTATAGGATATTCAGGTTAGAACGAATAGATGCCCTACAGAGAATTCTAACAGCCCTATTTTGTAAAATCTCTAATTTATTCAAGTTTGTTTTGGTAGCGGAACCCCATGCAGCTAAGGCATATTGGATATGACATTGAAAAAGAGCCAAATATACTGTTCGCAGAGTCGAGTCGTTTACATAATGCCTTAACTTCCCTAGGATCCCGACTGATCTTGACAATTTCTTATGCAATTCATTGGTATGAAAGTTCCATTTTAATTGATTGTCAATAGTGAGGCCAAGGTATTTATAAGAGTGAACAATTTCAAGAGGGAGACCTGTAATTTTGATTGAGATGTTCGCATGTCTGGCTAGAGATTTGTGGCCGAATAACATGACTTTGGATTTTTGTATATTCACAGTAAGTTTATTGGAAGTCATCCAATCATATACTTTATTCATTTCAGTGTTCACCTTGTCTTGGAGAATACCCGGATCTTTTGCACTGTAGAGCAGGCAAGCATCATCAGCAAACAATTTGCTCAAGAAATTGGAGCAGTTAGACAGATCATTTATGTAAATTAAGAAACCAAGAGGACCTAACACACTACCTTGAGGAATTCCGTGATGAATGGGCAACATCGGAGACTGCTGAGAATCCACCTCCACATATTGGAATCGACCCGAAAGGTAATTGCTTAATAGTTTGCCTGTAGCACCCCGAAAGCCATAGTGTCTCAGTTTTTGGGAAAGAATACTATGGTTGACGGTGTCAAAGGCTTTTTTTAAATCGAGAAAAATACAGCAGACAATTCGCCTTTGTCAATTTTATCATAAATAATGATGTAGATCTAAATAGCATGACTGGTGGAATTATTGGTTTGAAATCCAATTGACGTTTATTGATCAGGTTGAATTTTGTACAAAATTGATCAATCTGCTATGTAATAGTTTTTCTAAGATAATGGCAATAGAGGAGAGGATGGAGATTGGTCGGTAATTTGAAGGATCATTATGCTTACCACTTTTGAAAATTGGTTTCACTCTAGCAACTTTTAAAGAGGAAGGGAAAATACCCAATTTGAATGAAAAATTGAAAAAATGACTGAGCACTGGTGATAGGATATCAGCAACTATTTTTAGGAAGTGTGATGGAATACCATCAGGCCCAATTGCTTTTCCTTTTTTTTAGATTCAATATCATTTGGAGGACCTCTGCAGGAGTAGTTACTTCAAGAAAGAAAGAGCTTTGCAGAGGAGCACCCAAGAAGTACGTGGATGATTTTGAGCTATGAGGTAGTTTATCTGCAAGCTTCTTCCCCACTGTTGAGAAAAATTTATTGAATTCGCTAGCCACCATGACAGGGTCTCTCACTGTAGTACCATTATCGAGTTTCAATTCTGAGATGGGGGTATCATCTCTGGACTTGATTTTGATAATTTCATTTATAGTCTTCCAAGTGTGTTTTACATCACCTCGGTTGTTTTTGAGGATTTTATGGTAATACAATTGTTTCGATTTTCTCTGCAAATGATTTAAGATATTTTTATACTTTTTAAAGTAAAGACGCTCAAGTAAATTTCCTTTTAAAAATTTTTTTTTGAACATTTGATTTTTGTGTTTGATGGACTTGCGAATCCCCCTAGTTATCCAAGGCTTCAAGTACAATTTATTTTCTCGACGTGATGCAAGTCGAAGTGGGGCATGTTTGTTGATTAACCATTTCAATTGGCCAAGGAAAGAATCGAAAGATAAATTAAAATTTTCTTTACAGAGAGCGGTATCAATGTAGTTGTTACACATCGACTCGACCTCAGATCTGGGAGAGTCGCTACAAAATTTTGTCAAATCTCGCTTCATCCGAGTTTTTGTCTTGGAAGAAACATTTAAACCAGAGATTGTACAAATTACAGGAAAATGGTCAGTAATATCACTAAGCAAAATAAATGATGAAGAGACATTACCTATGTTATTTGTATAGATATGATCTATGAGGGTGTGGGTGGATGATGTGACTCTAGTTGGTTTTGTAATCACAGGCAATACGAAATAGGACATAAGCATGTCCAAATATTTAGCAGTGGGATTGTCATGGGTGTCAAGTAGGTTGATGTTGAAGTCACCTAATATTACAAACCTCTTTTTCGCCATTGCCAGCTTCTCGAAAACAAGAGCCATTGCTCCAGAAAATGAGGGTATATTACATTTGGGGTGTTTGTAAATGACACCAACTACAAATCTCTGGTTGTTCGAGTTAAGTTTGATCTCTACCCACAAGTCCTCACAATTTGGAAATCCTAAATCAAATTCTTGGATCACCTGGTAATCCAAGTTGCTTTTAAGATAAAAACCTACCCCACCAGCTTGGGTAGGAGTAGGAACATACATAAAGTTATATCCTGGGATGTCGACATTTTCGGCCATTCCCCCAGCTTTAATTCTTGTCTCGCTTAGCGCAATAATATGTGGGAGATAGTGAAAATTTGATGTCAATTCGACTAAGCGGTCAATGTATTTTGGTAGAGATCTGATGTTGAAGTGTACCAAAATAAGGTCAGATGGTAGAAACCTAGATGAGACCTCACTGATCTCGTTTAACTCGAGGTATCGACAGTGAGTTGTACTAACATGATGATGTAAATTGTTAGATTCCCAGTTCATTTTGGAACAATATATAGGTACATCATGGACAGTAGACATTGAATCGTATTGAATAAGTGAATAAAAAGTATACACAGAAACTTGTTAATAAAGGGCTTACATTAAAAGTGGGGCCTAATAGCAACAATAGAGTTAGATTTAAAATAACAATAGATAGAAAATTACAGTGGGAATTACAATTAATCAACTTATCTGATTTTTTGCAGATCTTCTTCATCTGATATTGACAGGGGTATTGGTATCCTTGTTTTTTTTCACCAACACTCGCCCATTGGAAGTCCAAAGAAAGGCGTACCCACATCGTTTTTTCAGGATCTTAGCTTGATAGAACAGGTTTTTATTTTTTTCTGTTAAGTTTTCCACAATAAAAGCTTTTGATAAATTGGTTAAAGGTGATTTGTTGGTAGCAGTTCTTATGAGGTTGCGATTTTTAAGAATTTTGCTTCGGATTTTTCTGTTAGTGAACTTGGCGATTATTGGCTTGTGGATATTAGAGTTGTGAGTGGGACTGCGATGTGTAACTGAGATATCAGATGGTTTGATATCTACATGAATCAGTTTTCCTATTTCCATTATTAGTTTATCTGTGTCCTCATTCACAGTTGGGGCAAGACCATGAAACTCTAGATTGTCGAGTCGAGAGCGCCTTTCCTGTTCCTCCATTTTTTCTGTGGCATAATACAGATCTTCCTCAAGATCATAAACTATATCTTCTAATTCTCTTATTCTTTTGTCACAGTTTATAATTTTTCCTTCCATAAATTTCTGCTTTGCGGATAATTCATCGAACATATCCGACTGAAAATTCTGGGTTTCCTTGATTAAGGCAATGTCCTCTTTTATTTCCTTTAAAGATTGGATTTGGTCTTCCATACATTCTTTAAGGCCTGGGCTTAGGGGTATGTATTCCGAAGTAAGATTTGCTGTATTGAAGTTCTCAGCAAGGTACTTGGTGATTAGAGATGGTAGTTGGCTTTCTATTTGTCTCTGGATTGCTTCCTGTAGATTTTGTTGAAAATTAGGTCCCTCTTGTTGATATGAACAGGACCTATTGGGGAGAGGCCAGGGTCTGGTAGGCTTCTGCTTAGACGAGGTTTCGGCTTCGGCTTTTCGATGTAGTTGAAAGCAGCCATGTCAGTTTTGGAGTTCGACATATCGCTGATGTAGATTGTAAATCGTCAGTGATGTTTACTATTTAAGTTAGACTATAAGCTATTTTAAGATCTTAATCAAATAGCGAATAGCGGTCGGTTATGGCTCCCTCCACCATTAAGTCCATGCATATTACTAATGCATGTTGCTAAATTTGGGGGTGGAACAAGTCTCCTCGTGGCTCAAGTCACTCGCATCTCCCCTATTCTTACGAACAAGAAAAACGATATTCGAATTGGCCATCCCTGAGTAGGATATTCATTTTAATTCCGGGATTGAAAAATCGATAAGAGACCTTAAACATACTGCAAAAATGGATGTTTTTCCGCAACCATATCCCCGAAAATTTTCCTCTACTTATTTCCTCTACACTATTGTGAACTAATTTTTGATTAATATTTGTAAGTATTTTTGAAGTTCGTGCGGTTAGAAATTCAAATCGGCACCTTGTCCCAAATGTTCAAATTGCTGCAATAATAAGTGCAGACAGCTGATTTTAATAGCTTTTTTTTATCATGTTTTTGATCATTGAAATCAAACTTATGATAATGAGTCGGAACTATCACTTATGTTCGAATGACGCGGTGAACGGAATACCGAGAATTTTAGCGAACTTGAAAATCAAAGTTAGTTTAATATGAACGAGAGGATCGCTGGACTCCTCGCTGCCACGGTAACGGCTGGTCGGTTATGGCTCCCTCCACCATTAAGTCCATGCATCTGAAAACAAATAACTGGCTAACTAATCCCATACCGACATAGGCTGGTAACCGGACGAAAGGCCATAGTTCGCCACATTATTAAGTCGTATCAACGGCTTTCCTTTCTCTTCTGGGATAAATATATAAATCCCACTTCATCATTTGAACGCAAAATACTATCGGCCAGTCCTTCTATAGCGTTAAAGATTTTACACCTTTAACGTCAAAAAAAACCACGTGTTTTCCCGAAAATAAGACCTAGCCATCAAGTCCATGCTTCCGAAAACAAATAACTGGCTAACTAATCCCGTACCCGACGTGGACTGGTTACCGGACGAGAGGCCGTGGTTCGCCATATGATTAAGCCGTCTTATCGGCTCCCCTTCACCCAATCATTGAAACATCTACTCGCGGTTTTATTTTTTGTTTCTCAGGTTACTTCAAAGTGATTAAATGAAGTAAAACACATAAGGAAAAAAACAAAAAAAGACTCCGATATCCTGTGAAATAACAACCTTATTCCTATATCCTTGTCTGAAATCAATACCCAAGAATGAAAAACCTCACTTACACCCTTTGTAACCAATTTATTTCCACATTCTACTTTACTTAATTATAGTAATTTTACTGTTACCGGTAACTTTAATTACTTATTACAATCTGAACTATAATTTGGCAATAATAGGCTCTAATTTGGGGAATGAAATGGTCTCGCCCACCTCTTCATGCACCCAATTCTGGCAACTTTGGTTGGGCAACTTGGCATTTGACTCCAACTATAATCAGCTTGGCAATATGTTTTCAATAGAATCTTCCTTTTATATCTTAATTAACGAATAGAAGATCGATCAATTTGGCAATGGCAACCATTACAAAAATATCAATATGGTGTTGCAGATAATTTTCTTTTCTAGTATTTATTTATTTTTTATTTTTTTGTTTACTGTATGGTATACCCTAAATTTATCGCGTTTTATTCTTACTTAAATAACTTCTCAGTGGTTGTGTGTGTGTGTGGCTGGCGGGTGCATGTGAGCGTGTGTGAAATAACTTAATAATTTTAGGTGAGTAAACACGTACCACTTCCTCTTGGCAAAACCTTTCATCTTATATTTTGTACGTTATAAACCTTATCTAAGGTTTTGTTTGCTCCCCTGATTTCATAATCAGTTTTTATTTATTTGTTTTTATCTGTCAAATGTATTGTTATGCTGATTATGGAGTCGAAATAAACTTATACTTATATATCCCGGGATAAATATGTAAATTCTATTCTATCCTGAAAATAAGACCTAGCCTGAATTTTGAAATGATATCGATATCAGACCTCCCTTGAAGTAAGACCTAGTCAAACTTCTTTTTTTTTACTTTTATTTTGTATATTGAAAAAATCGTAATTCTCTACTTTGTAATTTTGTTTTTGATAAAATAAAATAAAAGACATCCCCAGAAAATAAGCCCCAGTGTTGTTTTTCGAAGGAGAATTTAAATCGTTGAGTACAGTCCTATTTGCACCGCATCCGTCTTGAAGAATTATGCGCAATCTCCCAGTTTAATCAAGTTCAATCTCCCAGTTAGGGAGTGAGACCCAGTCTTATTTTCTCCAGTACCCTCTTCGGGGAAACACGGTAACTATTTAACTAACCCCATGCCTGACATAGACTGGTAACTAGACGAGAGGCCATGTGGCAAGACGTATTATCGTTTCTCCCCTCCCCGGGATAAATATGAAAATTTTTATCTTCGTCAAATATCCCGGACTCTGCCATGCGTAACGTAGGCAAACCACTGTGAAGCTAGCAGCAAAGTCTTGCCAGATATGTACATGTTATCCGTCGGCAAAATCGGACAACTGGTCATATTTTTTATATTTTCCTATGCTTATCTATTTAAGAAATAAAAAAAGTTACATAAAATTACACAAAACTATATTATGTATTTTCTCATTCATAAGATCCCTAAATAGCCTGTCTGTCATACCGACATTGCGTTATTGGCGCCGGCACAGTTGTGGCAACGGCATCGTGAGCAGCGATAAGTCTTTTCAAACGTGTCGCCGAAGCGAGTGCACTGCACAATGAGGTATGCTTTTTTATATCCATTTTGATCTTCATTTAGCGGTGAATTTAACCTACTTCTGACTTGTCATAATTTTTATTACTTCTGTGGTCAATACCTGATGATGCATCAGATTATAATAAAGTATTTCAGGACATGATGTTGTCCGTTCCCCGTTAGAAGCCCCGATTTGTTAGGCTATCATAAGCAGAAAAAGCAGTACAACTCACGATTTGCCATGTCAAGAATGCAATTACAGAACCTCTCAACATTATAATATCAGGGTCTCTTGAAGCAAACGCCATAACTGCTTAAATACCCCCAAACACAAATATAGTGTGGAAATGATGGCTGCGAGTGATTAAATAACACCAAACAAAAATGTGATGTGAAAATACAACCCAAATATCAATTTTTTTTAAACGAAAGTCCGTCTTGGCGAGCACAATAAGCTAAGCGCATGGGACAAACGGGAGGCGGACAACTCGACTCGCGATAGGGCAGATGAGTCGTCCACCTTTTCGCATTTTGACGCCGATGTTTTTTGTCAATACGGGTGTAATTTCAGTATTTTTACATTAAAATTTCACATCACATTTTTGTTGGGTGGTATTTGAACAGTTACAGCGTTCACATCACATTTTTGTTGTGCGTTATTTAAGCAGTTACGGCGTTTGTTTCATTAGACCCTAATATCATAATCAATCAGTTAAGGTTGAGCCACATTGGTACAATTTGACCTAAACTAACTTTAAATACTGTATCGCAAAGCAGGGGCACTGAAACATTTAGGTTAAAAAGATTAATCTTCTCTCACGCTAACAGAAACAATCTGGCTTGGCCGAATGTTCCTCAGTATGCAATCCAATAAACTGTTTGGACTTGCAAATTGTAACATTGTGCAAATATTTAAAAATTTGTATTGTAAATTTGTATATATATTTTGCATTCCAGAGTTTTAGCAAAAAACAGCAATTTTGGTCACATGACTGCCGTAGCGCATCGTGATTGATTCAAATTCTTATTGAGACAAGCATGGCAGTGCGGCACACTGTCCAAATTCCGTCTCACGAACGAGGAGCGTCTGGCAACTTGTGTCAGATGTTTCATATCGCAACATGCTTGTCTCAATAATAATCTAAATTAATCAGGGTCATCGCGTGACCAAAATTGTCGTTTTTTTGCTAAAACTCTCGAATAGTAAAAATTTTTCCTTTGGTAAATCAAATTATTTTTTGGGTTGCGCTTTTTTGTAGTATTTTGCGCAACTTCATCATACTGTATTATTACCAATATTGAGGGACAACAATGTCCAGATGTCTCCCAAAGGAGGGGTGTCTAATCATTGATAAGTTGGGTTTCTGTCGCTCGATCTGTATAGTGTGCCGTACTGCATGGCGTGATCTGCCACTGTGCCAGACGCCCTCATTCCAGAGACAAATAATAGTGTTTGTTTTATTGAACATGTCTGGGCACCTTGGAATCAGAGATCTGTGCCCTACTGTATTGGTCATGATTCTGAACCTGTGAGCGTTGCTGTGTGGTGTTTTTTAACAAGGATATGTAGTTACATGAGCAATATATTCTCTTTACAGTAAGGTTTCAAGAGATACACTTTATGAGTCTGTGGAGGCAATCCTCACTCAGTCGAAAGACAAACCGCGCAAGTTTCTGGAAACGGTTGAGCTTCAAATTTCACTGAAGAATTATGATCCTCAGAAAGACAAACGTTTCTCTGGCACTGTGAAGTATGTGTGACTGAGTATTTTTGCTACAACCAGTGCATAACTTAATTTGTTATGGCATTGGTAGTTCTGTTCAAATATGAGCAGAACGGACCCCAACCCAGGGTCTTTAATATTGGGGAGGCATGATTGTCCAATAAAAGTGACTTCATGCTGATATTAGTCTTCAAGGTATTTTACTACAAGTTTTCGATTTATTTGCCATACAGCTGGTGCTACTATGTATTGCGATTCAGCCAGTTACAGTCTTAGTTATTGTCGGTCATTAATCTCACTCTCTTAATTATTAGTGAAAGTACAGTGAAGTAAATTAGATCATGAACTCGTTCAATTTTATCAAGAACTGGAGTTACGGCATAGAAGCCAGTGAAAAGGCAAATCGTAAACAGACTTTTTCTCTAATTGCTAAAAACAAAAGAGATTTTAGTTGCTTCATTATTATTTTTAAAACACCGTTAAGCAAAACAAAACATACAGTCCAAACTCTTCAGATTTTCATTCACTGGTCATCATCACAAAGCTTTTCAATTTGAGGTCATGACCTTCCTCTTTTCTGTGCTGCAGTAGCGAGATTTGCTCAATGATGGTTTTGCATGTATTATCCTAATCACTTTTGTGGATGGTTTTCCACTGAGAGCAAGCAGTGTGTGCGCAAAAAAATTAAAGGGCCTTTCGCCTTCAACAATGATACTATTTTCTAATGTTTTTTAAGGCTGCCACATGTGCCAAGAGAAAAGTATCGTGTCTGTGTTCTGGGTGACGCTGCACATTGTGACGAGGCAAAAGCTAATGATTTGCCATGTATGGATGTCGATGCTCTCAAGAAATTGAACAAGGATAAAAAGCTTGTGAAAAAACTAGGTGAGTTGTAGGAATATTTTGATATACAGTATTTTATGACCTGTGTTCTTAAATAATATATCAGTTTACTTTTTTTCCAGCCAAAAAATACAATGCCTTCCTTGCTTCTGAGTCCTTGATCAAACAGATTCCCAGACTTCTTGGACCAGGTCTCAACAAAGCTGGAAAATTCCCAACTCTTGTGACGCATAATGATGCTCTGACAAGCAAGGTATATTGTTAAATTATTTTTGAAGCTAATCAATCAGAATTTTGTCCTAATTTTTCAATCTTTGCCACAGGTTAATGAAATCAAAAGTACCATCAAGTTTCAGATGAAAAAGGTTTTATGTTTGTCTGTTGCCGTTGGAAACGTTGGAATGTCTGATGATCAACTGGTCCAGAATATCAACTTGGCAATCAATTTCTTGGTAAAATTTTATCTTGTAATTTGGTAAGGGCGCACGCTAGAACCTGGCAAATGATGTTTTGCGGCAGGCGCAGACAGTGCGCCAGATCAAATGCAAATTTTGTCAACACCAGTAGATTTTTCGATGACTGGAGTCAGATAGCAATTTGTATACAATTATATAGTGTTATATATATATCATGCAGTTTATGCCAGCTATCATGTGGGATAGATATTTCTAGGCCGTAAAAGTGGAGTGCCGGAAATATTTTTTTTGTCCCAACTGTGCACTGGTATCCATGAAAGTATATAGCACACTAGTTGAAGAAAACTAATCTACTTTGTGGAATTGAATAATATGGTGGAGTGAAAATATTCTTTTTTTGCACATCCAAATATGTTTTGTGTCTTCCTGTCAGTATACATTGATAATGATAAGTTTTGTATATGAAGTTAATTTGGTAATTCTCTCACAGGTTTCACTGCTGAAAAAGAATTGGCAGAATGTGCGTGCACTCTATGTGAAGAGTACCATGGGAAGACCACAAAGATTGTATTGATTATATCTCAATAAATTCTATTATGCCAAGATATAGAATGTAATGTTTTGTATGAATCTAGGGGGAGTTGGGCCATCTTACCATTTATATTTATTCAGCTAAGAAATTTTATATTCGAAAATTGATGCTTGACCATCATGGAAATGGATAACCTAATCGTTTAGCTAGGTCCTTAGCAAATGTATTTTGCAATAAGTAAGAGACTTCAAGAATCGCTTATGTGACCTGCGGTTCGTTATCCGTCCACCATGCATTTTTAGGAGGTTATCGCGAGCACCCTTGTTTTCGTCTCTAAAAGATCTTCGCGGAAACCAGCTTTTTTTCCCACAGACGTTATGTGGTTGCTGCAGCTGACTAAAGTCCCGAAGGTACCGAACAATTTTTGGACACGTAGTGGACATAACGATCGTTTCAATATTATGTTTTTGTTGTTTGACACAGAATAACACACCTAGTGGAAATATTAAAAAACCGAAACCGAAATATTTCTCTTCGAATACTGGACCAATTGCTTTGAAATTTTCAGTGGTTAAAGATAAAATTTTTCCCCAGAAGGCTATAACTATTCATTTTAAATATTTCTGTTAGCTCTGTGAGATTTGTTTTTGTTTGCTATGACGTCATTAAGCGTTCTGCGGACATCGGACACCATTTTGTGTCCTGTACTGCTTCGCTCCGTGTGAATATATTTGTAGACTGATCTGGCGGTACGGTAAACCGTACTGTACTGCGAACAGACTTGTCCATATATTTGGGCGTAGCTCTCTTGTATTTAATCCTTTCGGGAACGTAGCTTGCAGCCAGGTCATTCACCCGAATAAACCTGAAAAGTCGGTTGCTCGTTCGGTCGAACGTAATTGAAAGTTTGGATGTTGATAACTTTCGTGAGCAAAACGTGCATCTTGTGCATTTCTGTATACATAAAATCTGAGAACGGCAAAGTAATAACAGCAAGTTCTATCGAAGTGGAAGCGTTCGCCTAACTTGGAAAGTGACGTGACGTCAGATAAATCTTTAGACGGTGTTTTTGAGGTGGGACTAAGCTTTTTGTTCACTACATTGCCTCATCCCTGCTTCAAATCAAATATGTCAGTGGTAGTCGGCAATACTTGAGGGATCGCTAGGTGACGATTAATATCACCTAGTTAGCTGTTGGTTGACAGTAGACACAGTGAAGTGGAAGTTTGGCGTACCGGTATCTCCAATGAGGTTGAGTCAAATAATTTTCGACATTGGCCATATCAAGCTTAACCCAAAATAACGAATACAAAACTTGTAGATCTGCGGGGTTGGGAGGGGGGGGGGGGGGGTTACGAGCTGATTCTGCACATTACAGGATATCCTTTCATAAAAAGGAGATGCTCAGTATGCTATTATAGCACGCGGTCTCACATTTTTGACCTACCGAACTCCGTACGTTATAAACCGTATCGTGTAATAGCGAACGAGTCTACAGACAGAAGTTGTTGCTGTGAAAGAAAAGTTCTGACAAAGAGACAAATCTTTGAGACACTATTATATGTAGCCTATTGAATGACAAATGGTTGAATATTTTGAATCAAATTGATGATAAAGCAAGTAAAACATTTATTAACGCAAACTCGCGATAACACTATAAAAAGAATCTCCACTGTATGATTTATAACAGGGGTCGGCAACCTTTTGTCGCTTGCGGGCCAAAATTGGGGGTTGCAAGTCTTGGCGGGCCGCATATATATTTTTAAAGAGGTAAAAACCGAACGAATGGCCGATAAATCACAATGTTTTTTCACACAGATCAGAAATTGAAATTTTAGATTTTAAACAGCGCACGAAGACTACGACAACTCGTCGTCTTATTTAATCAAAGGGGAAAAAAATTACAAATGACATTAAATGTGTCACTTGTTGCTGCATCACGCGTGATACGTTTTCGACATCAGGCGGCACACTGGATGAAGCCAATATTAAAACATTTTCTAAATGGGAATACCTGATCCGAGTTCTCAGCTTGTTCTTTGTAATGTTCATTTTCGAAAAAAATTGTTCGCACGCATATGTACTTCCAAACATCTATGTGAATTATTTCGCATGGTTTGTCAAATTTGGAGTTTACCTTCAAGAAAATACTTTTTATAAACAATGAAGTAGTGATGTATCTCTCGAACAGAATATAGAATTAAATCCTCATTGTATTGCATTTCAAAAGATTGTATTTAAATTGTTGTCTTGTTACTATAATTTATTGAAGCGTCGCGGGCCGTATTATTTTACTCCGGGGGCCGGATCTGGCCCACGGGGCGTAGGTTGCCGACCCCTGTTTTACACAACAGTATTATTTCTCTCCAATTCTGAGAGCAAGGTGGCATTGATGCACTTAGAACTCAAGTGAGCACAAATGTTAAATTCTTGTATATACTTATATTTCCTATTGACCTCGTAGGTATACTTTCAATTCGATTTTAGCTATATGCTGAAACCTTATATTCAAGCATCGATAATCCAATAATCAGCAACGTCTCGACACTTCCATACATGCGTGAATTGACTAGTTTTAGATCTTTAGAACTGGGGAATCAGTTCTCAGTCCCCGGGATTTCTGTAATAACTTATGTATTATCATTTGGTCATTACGTAACTGACCTTAATCTTAAAAATAGGTCTTGGGATTGATATTGCTAAAAAAGGTTTAATGAAAGTCGTCCCCCCTGTATTACTCGTGGATCAGAGCTGCAGAGCGGGAGAAAATTTACAATCGACACTGAGTCCAACCTCCGGGCTGTGAATTAATTTTGGTTACAGCTCCGAACTTCGAGACTTCAAATATTCTCAGTAAAATTATTGAGTTTTAGTATAGGAAGTGTTGACTTATTTTATCAACTTGGAAACTCTGCGTTTCTGACTTCAGAGAATTCGGAATTTCGACTCTGAAGAATTTGAAAATACGATCCAGACTCCAGTAAAGACTTGCTATACTAGATGGTTGTTTATGAGATAATTCAATAAAGTTATAAATATGATAGGTGCAGAACTAGTTTTAGACAACACTTTACCATAGATGAATTGATGCCATACTCAAATTATTTTAGCCTACTTGCTTTGTGACAGACTTTATTTGTCTAGTCATAATCATCTAATCCCGGGATTAATAAAATTACACACAGGCACACAAAATATTATAGGCAGTCGTGTTTATTTCTTATAAAACTGACTCAAAAACACGAGAGCATCGATAATGTCATCATTAAGTCGATATCTGGTTATCTTGGTAAAAAATCCAAGACCGGAAAATGCACGTTCAGCTTCAACTGACGTAAACTTGATTGTTTTTAGTGCGTCATACAACATTTCCATGTTTCTGGCCTCTTCCTGCTTGGGTCATATATCAGCATTTTTTTCTCAGCCACCATCATTCGACATCCATAAACCCTCGTTCCTCTTCGTTTTCATCGCGTGCAATGTAAGCATGGAGCTCCTGCGCCAACATCATTTGAGTGTCTTCGTTGTGCCTGCTATCTTTTTTTATCAAATATTCAGCCTTTTTAATGGTGTTTTGATCGAATCATTTGAGTGTCTTCGTTGTGCCTGCTATCTTTTTTTTATCAAATATTCAGCCTTTTTAATGGTGTTTTGATCGAATCATTTGAGTGTCTTCGTTGTGCCTGGTACCTTTTTTGATCAAATATTCAGCCTTTTCAATGGTGTTTTGATCGAATTCTCCAGTACAGAAGGGTATTGGTCGCCAAGTCACCAATTTTTGACGACTCATAATACGTCCAACTGCTCGATATCTTGATTTAATATATTAAATGTACAGTAAAATCGTTTTAGAATACCACTATGTCACATATTAAATAAATCCTAGGAATATATTCAAAATCACCCCGGAATCGGGTGTAGAAAAAAGCCGAAAATGCCGGGATCGCAACACTAGTGCCCACTCTCGTTTTCTCATAAGACGTTTTTTGACCATTCAACTAAAATAGCCATGAGTTATAATCAATAAAACTGTTTGTGGTGTCGTTGCTGGAATTGTGTCAACTCACTATAAATAACTAATTTTGACCGCGGTATTTTACAATGAAATTGAAATGATTTGCATTTAGAAAACGGAGAGCAATGCTCAAATATATATATGGACACGAAAGCCAAAACGAAGTAGTTTAAAATCTTTTATAGTATCGCACTAGTAGTCTGGCAATCAGATCACTGAGGGGTGATCACGGAACCACGGCACGCAATTTTTAATTTTGAAGATGTCATCACATAAAACTTCGAAGTGAAAAACGAATGCCCTAGATCCCACAGATATTTCCGAAATAAATGAAAGTAAAACTCTCTAGCGACAACAACAAGCTTTAACCACTGAAAATTTCAATGTAATTATTTCAGTAGTTGGTCCGGCGATTTTGTTTACAACAACAACATAAAAACAAAATGACCCATAGGTCCATTTCCAAAAAAAATTATTTTAAGTATAATCTCCAGTGTTTTATTAATCACGAGTCTGATTAAATTCTCAGTAACGAGTCTCATCACTTCTGAGTCACAAGATAATTGGAGCCGCTGTCCTTTTGAGCCCAAAAGTCGATTCTGAGTCATAGTGTATTTATTAAACAATAATGAAATAGATAAACTATCAATAGAGGTATGCGAGACTAATTCCTAATTGCTTCGATACATTAGTGAAAAAGGTTATATGCTATTAAATATGACTGACAAGAAAATACGAAAAATAAACCCCTTATCAACGGTAATATATTGCGTGTGCACACCGTTGTTTATTATGTTTTTTTTCAAATAAGAAGTGTCTTTATTTGTTTCGAAAGATTTATTTCGATTTATTTAATGTTGTTTAATGTCAATCAGATCTCCATTCAAAACAAAAGAAATTATCTATTAGTCTCTCATTATCCAAAAATATGTTATAAACGTACGAATAACGATTCAATTTTTTTGGTAAAAAACTGAATACGACGATACGACCGTTGGGGTCATCGGAGTCTGTTTCCACACAAATACAAAATACGCCAAGGAGGCAGGTTCCGTATTTT